GTCAGCAGAAAGCCCTCCACACAGTGGAAGGCAGCAGCTGCTCAGCAGCAGATTGTGCATTCTGTTGCACAGTTTTCAGAAGGCTCCTGAACGCCACAAACAGAAGAAATAGATCTCTGAATATTCATGCACGCACTTGTTTATCTGCCTCATTACTGGAAGTGAATTATTCAGAGTCCTTTCCAGCGTTTTCTAGGACGTTTCAAAGAGGAAAAGGTCAGGTGGTGTAGAAACACTTACAGGTACATACGGCACAGTAAGACAAAGCAAAAAAAACTTTTGCTTTGTTTGGTTGTCTCCGTTGTAGACCTATTGAACCTAACCAGACCAGAGGTTCATGGTTAAGATAATTAAAAGAAGAATTAAAAGATAGAGTGCTCTTACAGAACTCAAATACAACAAATGCAGGTCTGTAGAGAGTCAGGACTAAAAACAAAAACCTTTTCTTTAATGCAACTATCAGTTAGAAGACAGGAATGTAACTACAAAATTCATTAAAAAACAACAATTACATATTTGGAAGAACATGGCTTACAAAATAAAACATTAGAGATGTTAGTTTTACTGTGATAAAAGTGTCTCTTATATATTTAAAAAAAAATCATCATTCATTATTTTTTATAAAAACACAATATAGGGACAGAATAAAAATAATAAGAAGAAGAATAAAAAAATCAAAATATTCTTATTATTACTACTACTAACAACAACAATAATAATAATAATAATGGTAATAATAATAATACAATTAATTAAAAAAAATTTAAGTGATGAAAAAAGATTTAAAAATAATATTAAAAAAATATTTTTTTCATGCAACTAGACATTATGTAATATATGGTCCATTATGGTCCCTATTTTCTAGACATATTTACAAGACATTTTCTGAGTATCTATTGTCTCAACATTCAGAATATTTATATATAATGATATAAATAATCATCTTGATTCTCGAATTTGAATCTGGAATTCAAAACAAATGTGACTACATTGGTACTTTTTTATCATCAGTTCTGACTGTATTTCTGTTTTCTGTGTCTACTCAACAACACACGTTGGTTATAATGAGCAGCAGCAGGAGGATTAACACAAATCACATTGAGAATATGCTCCATCTGCAGCCCCTGTCACCTCCGTCACCCTGGGTTCGACCTAATATTTAAGGTGGGCATATGCTCCATCTGCAGCCCACTGTCACCTCCGTCACCCTGGGTTCGACCCACAGCTGCTTGCAGAGTCAACAAAACATTTTGACGGCAGATTAAGGAAGAAATTGACAGATTATTCACCTCAGAACATCTGCTTTATCCTCTCCCCTGAGTCGCTCAAGCACCATTTGTCAGCGCGAAACACAGTTACGGTGGGTTACTGAGGATCCTGTTGCAAAAATAATTAGACCTCTGACTCTCTCCTGATGCCCTCTCTTTGGTGTAAATTTCAACGATTAGCAGCGTACTGCTCGCTCATATGTGGAGCAGCAGAAGATTCAGTGTGTCAGTGGGCAGGATTACATAACTAACATCATTAGGGCCTTCAGGGCCTCCACTGCAGGGCCTGTCCTATTTAAATACTAGCATTTTTTTAGTCAAAATATGATACATTTGTTCTTCTTAGATGAATAAAACGGTTTATAATACATCACAGTTGTATCCTTAAAACAAAACAAAACCGTGTATATAAACAGTGTTGGACTCAGCCAATCAGCCAATAGTAGCTAACGTTAGCTCCAGTGTCTCAGCAGCATGTTTTACACTGAGGTGTTCCCACAAACCTGCAGTACTGCAGTGTTAAGAAAACATCCGACAGCAATGCTTTTATCAAAACTCAATCAAAAAAAAAAAAAGATCAACGCAGTTTCTGTATGTTTTTCAACAATTAAGGCAGATTACTGACACCTACTGGGCTGGAGGATGTGCATCATTGTTCCCTGTGTACCAGAAATGAGAGAATTGTGGTTTTATTTTATTTATAATAACCTACTTTTAAAATAATTTTGAAGTAAAGTCAGCAGCACAAAATGAGAAACTGTTTTCACTTCCTCCTGTTGAATGAATGCTGTTGATCTTCCATCTTCTCAGCTTTACCTACAAGCTGTGATCGGCAGCAGCTGGGCGTCACATCCCAGCGTCTGCATTTGAATAAACAGCTCCTTATCCACTGTTGGTGGCAGGATGACTTATCCATTGATGCTGAGAGCCCGAGGTTGGTTCAGTGACGCTTTAAATATTCATAACTTCAGACAGAAGGAGAGCATCGATGTTACACTGCGGTAACTGGATTTAAACCTTCCAGAAAACACTGCACAGATGTACAGCCTTTCAGCTCCACACACCGGGTTCTGTTGGCTGAAGGGATTAAAGGATTGGTGGGCTGCATCAAAAGTAGCAGAATAACAGACTCAGAAAGAGAAACAGAGTCCACGATGGAGCAAAGGTGGAATAAACAGGAGGAGATAAACCAACAGAGGAGATGTTGGAGACAACAGCGGGATTCAACATTTACAAGGCAACTGACGGAGCTGGGAGGTGAAGATGAGACCTCAGAGGTCAGGGTTTCTCATGGGGCTGCTGTTTATTCCAACACACTCTTTACCAAGACTAAACTCACTGATGTACTTAGAGACACACACACTCTCTCACACACACACTGACAGTATGTATTAAAGAGATCAGCAACAAGTGTTGCCTCAGAGAATTAAGCTGTTTGTCTTGTCCCTCATTGGAACTTTGTGGTGGTGTCCTTTAATGTGGCTGTTTGAAAACACAACTAGGCCACACAAATACACGCTTCACTGGTGGTCAGGGATGGTTTAGGAGACAACATGGGGTCCAGGCAGAGAGGACCAGGGGCCCTAGATTTAACTGAACCCAGGAAGGCCAGTTCAGTTGGACAAAAATGTCACTGGAGCATTTGTTCATGGATCACAAATAAGGAGCAGTACAGGGACTATGTGCTGAGTTATATATATATATGTATATATAAATATATAAATAAGTATATAGAATAGAATAGAATAGAAATAGAAATTGAATAGAGTTATTTGAAAAGGTCTTTATTTAGCTTAGCCTAAAGTCTAAACACATAATCCATTTTTTGTAGAGTTCTGGTTGTGTTAAGTGCTTTGAGTAGAATCCATGATTAAAAAAAAAATAATAAAAATTATAAAAAATAATAATAATCATAATTCCTGTTTTTATTTTAAACGCTTTAAAAGCAAATCTCAAGACCACTGTCACAGAACCCTTTATTCCTCTTGTGTTGATAGAAATGTTGCTAGAAATGGCGATTGATGCTCAGATCAGTCACTGCAGCAGTGTTCACTCCCCACATGAAGTGAAGAACAGCTGAGCAGGTGACTAAACTACAGACACTGTGAATGAAATCTTTCCAAACTCCTGATCTTGCTTTGGTTTGTTTGATTTCCTGCTAAGATACGACCCCTCCTTCAGATGATTGATCTGTCAGGTGTGTCCGTCTCTCTGTGGCCAGTGTGATTCCCGTTACTCTGACTCGTGTCACCTGGTCTACACCAGGGTATGTATACGCCTCCTTCTCTAACTCAGGCTCGTTGTTCACTGCTGGTTGTTTCCTGTTCATGATGTTTGTTTGCCTGTTGTTCTGCGGTTCCTCTTCTCCTCGTGGTTCAGCCTGCTTCAGTCTGTGCTCCTGCCTGGAGTTGGCTGTATTTAAGTTTGGGACTCTGTTGAATAAACTTGATCGCTGTCTCTCTCGTGCTGCGTTTGAGTCCTGCCTGCCTTCTTGTACCACAGCAGCTGAAGACAGCACCGTAAATAAGAAGAACTGCTGCTCTTCACAAAGATTTCCCAAGATTTCTAGCATTTAGAATGAAAAGTTTTCTATTACAGGAACTGAAGGGAGAAACGAACTAGCAGAAGAAGAACTCACTGCACGTGGGTTATTGTCAGACACGGAGGAACTCTGGTCGTGTGTGTGCTGGTGTTTGTGTGTGCCCAGCAGTCTATGAAGAGCAGCAGATGAACTACTTGATCGGGTGGATCAATGTGTTTGGTAACAGCCCAAAGGGACAAAGAGAGAGGGAGAGTAAAAGAAAGCAGAAGAAACAAAGCGAGAGAGCAGAAGATCCATTGAGTGTGTTTTTGTGGTTGAAGAATTGTCCCCGCTGGCTTTGAAAAGAAGGATAATCCTGTCAAGTAAGCAGACCTTTGGATATTCATGACTGGCCGAGCGGCTCCGCGGACTGAAGGAGGACACAGTCAGGATGGGATTAAACATCAAAGTGGATCTGAGGAGCACAGGACTGGGACACAAATCAACCAGTGCAGAAACACAGAGGTATCAGAGGGCTGTGCTGGGGGGCACAGGGGACCGGTGCAGACCAGGTCGGTGGAGGGTGGACAGAGGTTTAAATGAGTCCGGCGTGAGGGCCTCTGATACTATTCAGTGCGTTGATGGGGGTAAAACACCTGCCCCCAATCTGAGAAACATATCTATACATAGCACTTGTATTTTAATAAGAAAAGAAGTTCCCATCGTGGAGCTGTTGAATCCTGAGGTCGACCTGAGGCTCAGTGATTTCACATGGAGTCAAAACAATGACTAAGGGTTTTGTTTTTTTGCTAAGAGCAGTGCATGGTTTACAATGTTATTTCCTGATTTATACACATTTATATTAAGAGTTAAAGAAATCAGTTCAAATGATTGATGACCAATTAGTGGTGATTCTAACAGAAAAAGACTAAGATGTAACTAGAACCAAAACTAAAATAAGCTAAGACGTAGCCAACAGTTGATGAAGAAGCTAACATGGATTATTAGTTGAAAACAATACACCTTAAAGTTGTTTTGTCCATATCATGCAGTAGCTGAGATGAAAACCAGAAGCTAGTGCTAATATAACATTTGCAGTAGTTGTTGTGATTATTAATTATTTGTCCAGTCGTTTATCTGCTCTCATATTACACTGCAACATACTGTATGTCTGCTCTGAAGTCATCTTTCCCTGGAGTCTGATGGTTTTTCAATTAAATTAGCATCATGTGGCAAGCAACATCTATCTATCTGTCGATCTGTCGATCTATCTGGGTGTTCAAACCTAACATCTGTGAGAAAGCTGCTGCAGTTTGTCAGAGTGGAGGTTGAATAGAAAGCGGAGGCTGGCGTCTGCCTTCAGTTGTGATTTTAAATGCACTGAGAATCAGTGAGGAGCAGCAGCACAGTGGGAGGTGAATAAAGAGAGGAGGAGGCTGTGAGGCATTGAAGGGAGATCTGGGGTTGTTTCAAATGAGAGAGAGAGAGGGTGGGTGTGTGTTTGTGTGTGTTAACACATGCACATGTTTGTGTGTGTTTGTGATAAAGGATTGACAGATGTGTCCAACAACATCTGATATAATCCCTGTATAAATACACACTGCATCTGCTAACAACGAGAGTCTTCACGTTGGCAGAATTACAACAGTGTGTCATAATAGAACTCACATCCAATCACCTTTTACACCAATGTTCACTGATAATACATCAACATTTTAACATCTCAGTTTTGGACTCAGTTCTGCTTCCATTACTACAGTTCTTCAGTGGCTAAGCTGCAGCTTCTGTGCTTCAAATGTACTTATAGATTTCACTAAACATTTGACAGCAGCCACTGGATGGTGCAGTGGTTGGCACTGGTACTACAAGCCGGTAACTACTTATAGTTCCTGCTTCATTCCATAGTCCAAAAACAGGCAGGATTAGGTTAAAATGTTATTTGCTCCAAATTGATCATAGCGTAGGTGTGAATATGAGTGTGAATGGTTTTTGCCTCTGTTTGTGGCCCAGCTATGGACTGGATGACTGTCCAGGGTGACCTCTGCCCTCATATGATAACTAGTGTGATTGGCTCCTGTAGATACATATACATTTACAGTGTGAATATGTGAGTGGTTTTGTCTCTCGTGGTGGCAATACAGTTTTTAACACAATATCACATAAATTCATCTTCCTTTTAGGGAAAAATATTTTTACTGTAAAAAAGAAGATGACGGGCCTCAATTATTTCTTTAATTTGTCTCTTGAACAGTCTTAAATTTCACAGATTGTTTGAAATTAAGTTTTGTTTCATTGCATGAAGTGTTAAAGAAACAACTGTTAACCATGGAATAATGCTGCTGTCATACCCTAACCTTTTAGTTGACCTGCTGTTTGTAAAAAAATGTCAAATTTTAATTTAATTTTTAAAAATATTTTGTATATATTTTACATATGCTTCTTTCACAATTTTTGCAGACTTACGTTTCTACATTCAGTTCACATTTACCTTAGAAAAACAAAAACAAATCTATAATATTACCTTTCTGCCTGTTAAAAAGGGGGCAGTAGAATGTAGGTTTATTAGAAATAGGATTTAAAAGTGCAAATGGAACAAGTTTTCTCTCCCTGAGATAAATTCAAATTTCAAATTTAAATTTAAATTCCAGCAACAACACAGCGTCTGTTCGACCACCAGCCTTCGTTTCTACAATAAGGCCGCTTTTTAGGATTCAGACTCGATGAAGAGTCATCTATCATACTGCTGTCAGCGCTCACTTTAACAGTGACTTTGCTCCCACTCCACTGCCCTCCTCTCTGTAAACCCAGCCTTGGCCTTGAACCTCTAATAAAACCCTTAAAAGAAACATTGCCCTCGCTCGCCCCCACAGACATTAACTAGCCCCCCCCTCCCCCCCAAGGCCTAGACTGGTGTGTGCGATGAAGAAGAAGAAGAAGAAGAAGCTCAGTGTTTGACGTTGGATTCCTGTAGAGGTTTAGTGTCAGTGAATCCATCATTGTCACTCTTAAATAGTGGGGCTACAGGGACACTTTGTCAGGCAGCCGGTTTGTTATCTAACATTTATTTTCTGGGAGCGACATCTGCGATGTTTAAATGAAATGAACAGTCATTAGAATTAGTTTGAGTAACTTCACTTTAGCATCTGCTAATCAAAACCCTGAAGGTTAAAGAGGTTTTAAGCCTTTTAATTTGAACTGTCAACACGAATCTACAATGACATGCTTCACAATGAAACCCTGGACCACAGGAAGTGTCAGTGGAGCAGTTAGCAACTTGAAATATGAATGTGGCAAAAGTCCATCTGTATTTAAACAAGCGTGACCAACTGAGCGTGTGCAGCTATTGAGCGTGAAGCGTTTAGGCTCTCTTTCACAAAGAGGCCGGGGGCTAGGACCTCACTCCCCTCCCTCCTTCATTATCCCCTTCACTATCCCATGCCACTATGATCAGCACCAAATGCTAACTATCCCAGGCCAGCGCTCACAAAGCATGCTGGGAAGCACAAAAGCAGACCGTCAGCCGATCGGTTCCACCTTATTAACAGCTTGTAATCTTCTCATGTGGTTGGCCAGGCCTCAGAGAGCAGGAGTTAGGGCTGATGGAGGAGTGTGTCCTCCACCTCCACTTTGATGCGGAGCAGCGTTTTCCCTCTGAAATGTCCTCCCCTGGTTTATTCCCATTGTTGCTGCTGCTACTGCTGCTGCACCTGTTTGCCCACAGGAGGCGATCAGTCAGTGACAACTGTTAATTTCTCATTAGAGTCTCTTTGCACAGTGAAAACAGAAGACGGTGTGTGATGTCAACCCCACAGCAGGTGCAGCTCCTGGTTTTTACTGTTCTGGCTAAAGCTCTGGTGCCTGGCCCTGACGAGGCTACGGGGTCGGAGGATCTCATTTTAGAGAAGCTTAAAATCACACGCTAACGTGAGTCTGCAAGATAAGATCAGTCTGGGTTTTTTTTACTGTGAGCTAAAACTTTTTTTAAGATATCCTTTCTGATATTCTGCTTTATATATTTAGCAAATTTTCATTTGCGAACAGTGAAAAAATTCACTTATATTTCATCTAATTTGTGGTTATTTTTATCCAAAGTTTGAATAACTAGATTCAAAATCTAACTACCGCGGTCACTATGTAGCCAATTCGTTCCCTGAAATTACTATTACTACTATTTTTAAAAAATTAATATAACAATATTGTTTTTATCTTCATGTACACTGTGGATATTTAAGGTACTTTGGAAATGTTCAGGTTAATAATTATTAATCACTTTTTTAATTAAATAGACTAATACTCAACATGTATTTGTTGTTGGGTTGATAAGGTTGAACATGATAAAATAACATTTGTTCTTCAGAATCTATTAGAACTGCACCACGTCTTTAATAATATTTCGGGGGCAGTATTTCTACAATGTGTTCCACAAGTGGTTAATGGTCATTCAAAAACAACAATTCTTCCAATTTAAAAGGGTCAATTACATTACGTAAGATTCAAATGATAGTTTTTTTATTTTTGGTATTTTTCCAAGTGTACCAACTTTTCTGGAAACGGGGTTTTCAGATGTAGACCATGCACAGACGTCTTTTCCCTCCAGTGGTATCACCGAGTGTGTATTTTTCATGCTGTACAAACAGATAAATTGACCCTGCAGTTTGGCGTAGGTGTCTTCCTGTCTGTCAGCCACAGGAAGTGACTCCACACAGACCGTGCATTTAGCCCCCAGGTGCAGACAGCCTTGCCCAGATGGATGGTACTCCTTCCACCATAAAGACACTAGTCTTCCTCCTGCCCTGAAGCCACCGGGGCTCTTGCCCTGGTCCAGCCTCATCAAAAGGAGCAGGAAAGCTGGGAGGCGGATACGCCGGGCATTAACCCCAAATCAAGCTCACTTTTCTTTGCCCTGTGTATAAAAAGTAGGGGGGAGGTGTGGTGTTCTGTCAGACACCAGCCTCTTTCTTTCTCCTCCATTCTGACTTCTGTATGTGCGCCTCCTTGCAGGTGTCCCTTTTTGTCGTCTTGACACAGAAGCCACGGCCCAAAATTCAGGCACAGGCATCAGGACTGGCTTTCTTTCATGACTGCGTTTATTACATCTCATTGTTGGACAACCACTAGAAATTAAATTGAGCTCACAGGATCACACACACACACACACACACACACACATTCATCCTGGCTGCCTGCGCTCTGTTCGGCTGCAGGTGCGAGGGCCATCCGCCTGGCCCTTTTCATGAGGCCCCTGTCTTTCCTGTTCGTCTGGAATCCATCCATTCAGCTTCAATCGCAGCACCAGCCGGAGCCCACCGGACCACTGGTGGGGAAGGGAAGCGCCTCCACACACATCTTTCACTTGTTGAGCCACGAGAGAAGAGCGACTGGGGACCAAAGAAAGGCTCTTCCTCCCCTGTATCTCCTTCTGCTTTCATCGTAAACAACTTGCTTTCTGTGTGTCACTCTGCTGTCCTTCCCCTCTTCCCCCTGCCTTCCTTTTCTCCTTCTCTGTCAGGCTTTCACAAAAGAGGGGTTTGGGGGTCCAAAAGAGAACGACCGGCTGACTGTGAAAACGCAGTGATGCCGGGGTCTTTTTATGGCCCATGAATGGCACATCTGAGGTTTCCAGCCTTGCTCAGCGCCCCAGGGCCGGCTTCACCTGTGCCGGGAGTCAATTGGTCTGTTGTGTGCCTGTCTGGAACCGTGCCCAGCTCTCTGCCAGCCAATTCGGTGAGCGTAGCCGTGTACAACTGAGCAACAATAACCTACTCCTCCTCCAAACCTCCAATTAACTCTCCAAACACAATGATGTTGCCATTCAAGGTTTGCCAAAAACTGTTCTCGGACACAATTAATAGCTAATGTTAGCACAGCTAATACCTGCTCTCCTGTGCTGAGGACTTTAATGGCTTTTAGGACGTTGAATGCCTGCTGAGGTACACTCCACTGAGTCCACACTGTTGTCTGTCAGTGTTAACTTCAGATAAAAGGCTAAAAGAATGTCGACAGGCTGCTAATCCCAAAACGGCAGCACTAGCAGCATACTGTAGAGGTGATGACACGTTCACAGACAAAACTAGCGTCTAATGCAACTCATGCTTATCAAGTCGAGAATGTTGCTATAGAAATGTATTGCTAACCCGCTAACGGACAAATTGTTGCAAAGGCATATTGAAATAAACTTTATTTTGCTGAAGTCAATTACTTTATAAGATTTTTTTTTCTTTTTGCACTCTCTTTTAAAAATATAGAAAGATAATCATTCAAAGATTTTAAAAATTGACATTTTAACATGATAAAAACGCCATGTTTTGCAGAATATCAATGCTGTAAAGATGTTTAGATTCATTGGTCTTAGTGTAGTGAAAATGTCTAAGTAATAAAAATCTTAAAGAAATAAAATCTTAAAGATGTAGAAAGATAGAAAGACAACTTTTGGACATCCAAAAATATGGACAGTGTGTCAATTTTCACCTTTTTTGAGCTTCAGCATTATTGATTCTTATTATTGATCAGTTCTAAAAAAAGAATTATATCAATTGCAACTAAAAATGACTATTTGGATGATGCTAGAAGATGATGATAAAAGTTTTAATATGTCAGTCTTATATATGTGTATTTACAAGGATCACAACATGAGTTGGGGAGGAGTTGAGCTGGGGGGAGGACGGGGAGGGGGGTCGGGGTGTGAGTGGCACCATTCAGCTCACTTTACCACACTGTGAGCTGCCATTCTCAACACCCGCAGCTGTGGAAATGAGATAAAACCGCGGTACCACTCATCTGTGCCACCACAACCCTCTGACGCCAGCAGTGGGGAGTGTGTTGAGTCGTCACTGAGCTGGATGGCATCTGTTCTCTATGAGCCGAGGGGAGATCAACAGGTGGAGCCAAAAAAGATTTTTTTTTTTGCAAATAAAGGACTTTACCTGATAGAGACACAGCAGGACTACCAACCTGAAGGTAACTTCGTCCAGATAGACAATGAACATGATGTCCAACCCGGTGATCAGAGCCCAGGAGCGGCCTCAGTCTCTCTGTGGCCCAGGGCCTGTCCAGGACTTAGCCCTCTGCCCTCCTGGCTTCAACCTCAGCTCACGTCTCCACCCTGCACCCCAACTGCTGGGTCTGCAGAGCAGCCAAAGATCCACCAAATCTCAGAGAGAGCTGAGCCCAGAGGAGCAGCAGGAGCTCAGGAGGAAGATCAACAGCAGGGAGAGAAAGCGGATGCAGGACTTGAACATTGCCATGGATGCTCTGAGGGAGGTCATGGTACCGTACGCCTCCTCACCCTCCTCTGGCTCAGTCTCTCACACCCACCATCCCGGAGCTCCCCCGGGTCGAAGGCTCTCCAAGATCTCCACCTTGGTCCTGGCCAGGAACTACATCCTCCTCTTGGGTTCATCTCTGCAGGAGATGCGGAGGCTGTTGGGTGAGGTGAGCATCGGGATGGGTGTGAATGCGGGGCCCGTCCCACGGTTGCTTCTCACTGGAGGTTGGCCCCTCATCTCCAGCCCTGGTCAGCTTCTCCTCACCCAGGAGTCCCTCCTCAGCTCAGCAGCTGCCTCTTCAACTCCCTCTTCGTCCTCCTCCTCTTCATCATCAGCCACAGCTAAATGTCCCCTGCTGTCCTCAGGCCCCATGGACGCCTCACTGGCCCCTGTCCAGTGGAGCTCAGTGGGGCCCCTCTGTCCCTGCGGGGTCTGCAGACTGCCCAGGTTCAGCCATTCCTCTCCAGGCCCCCGGTTTTCAAAGTGACTGCTGAAGTTTGAGGATGAAAAGCTGGTGAAAGGACTTCACGACTGTTAGTTGAATGAATTTTTATATGAAGTTATTAGATAGTTAGTAAATTATTTTTCTAACATTTTTAACAGTTTTATAATATTTTTATAAGATATTTTACTCACATGTGTAGCTTAAACCTTATGCAAGTCTTCTATATACTGCACTGTAAAGAATAAAGGTTGTTTCTATGCCACACATTGTGCTGTAGTTGTGTAAGCAGCATAAATGTTGACGTGTTGTCAAAGAGTGAAAATAAATGTCCTTTTATTGATGTGATGGAGTAAGAAATCCATTGTGATTCTTCCATGTCTTTCTAATGAAAGTCAGAACGTTCTTTTAAAAGAGGCACAGATTTGATACTATAAAATACCCAGCTGGTTCCTCTCTGATATTGCATGTAAATCCAATCCATTTCACCTACAGACAGGGCAACAACTACCTTTTGTATCAATGAACAATTGAATGGATATGACTTAAATACTTCCTGTCTTTTCTTTTAGCTCCACAATGAACAAAACAGAAATAATTAAAATTCACAGATGCTTTAAAAAAACAGAAAAAAACAAACAAATAAAAAACTTCAATTAAAAGCAAGAAAATACGCAATGTATGGGGGACATACTGTAACTATTACACATTTGAGTCTTGGACACATGTTCATTAACTACCGGCTCTCTGCCAATCAATAGCTAATTTCATTTGTTCAATTAAAAAAAAAGCACATAATTTTTATTTAATAATTAAAATATAGTAAACAGCTTTCTTTATTATTATTTCCTGAGATGTTCTATGCACGTGATGTCATTCTGTATTTATCTGCAAAGTGGATGCATTTGTTTACAAGTCAACAACAAATAATTTTTGTAAAAAGCGTGTTACATTTCCAGAACTCCGTATAAACTCTCGTCCATATTTTACACCTCCTTTCATCCGACCTGTGTCACAGCTCTGTGTAAAGTGATCATTCACGGCACAAAGCACCACTTCTTTATGATAATTCCTCGTATACTCCGGACTCTGGACAAGATGCTGCGTAAAAACCTCCCGCCCTCCTCCACACCTCCTCAGAAATAGTGAAACAGTCCTCGTCTCTTCTCCTATTCACTGATCCAACAAGGGAAAGATCAAAACCCACCGGTGTAATTACTGCCCTGCAGAAAGGAGGCCTTTTGATTATTCGCCCCCCTCGTCCTTGCTTTCTCCTCCCTGCTCAGATTCTTGATGTTTTCCTCTGTGTTGAGGAGCCAGGACGGGTGATTTGGTGCTACTCATTACACTCACTCCACAATATGTTCAAACGCCCAGAAAATGTGTCGCCCTGAATGGAGTTCACCGTGGCGAACTGGCCACCCCTCTGGAAGAAAGCTGGCATGTTCGCTGGAAGTGAGAATAAGAGAGGGCAGCGGGCGGGAGCCCCAACCTCGGCCACGGGAATAATGAGATTGAGAATAATCATAATCATAATGCTGATAAAATACTCCAAATAATTGCCTCTCCCCCGGAATAAGAGGATTACAGAGGGTATCTGTGAATGGAGGTGGGTGAAAGGGAAGGGGAATCTGTTATCATCAGGGAGGACAAAAGAGGAGTTGGATGCCATTAAGTGAGATTAAGGCAAATAAGGCTTGATTTTCCTGCCAGGAGAAATGGGGAAGAAGAAGAGGGTGAGAGTGAAGGAGGAGAGAGGAGCAGAGGAGAGCCTGATTCATCAGATCAAAGTGAGACGGTCAAACTTCACAGCTTTCATTTACATATAGCTGCTTTATGTCTGCACAGGGATTAACTACCTTGCTATTTTCTCCTGCCTCTCCTCTGTTCTGCTACCTTTTGCTCCACCGGCTCTTCCTCCTGCTCTCAGGACGGTTCAGGCCTCCTTCATTTTCCCCTCCCCTCTCCTCCTCCTCTGCTCTTTCTCTCTGTTTTCTCCAAGAGGCTCTCACTTTCTTGCGTTTGGTGGTTCCATTGTTGCAGCGACGCAGGGGTCTGCTCACTCTTTGTGTCAGCACTTTAACTCATCTCCATTTCATCACTGTTGTTCAATGGGCCCAGGAGAGCTGTTAAGACAATGAGTAGACACACACACACACACACACACACACATTGTGTCTAACTCTCATGTGAAGATCAGTTAATACTAAAACTAGAGCAATGTCTCAGAGATGCTTCAGTTTTTTACATGGAGACGTAAACTAGTAACATTAAAATGATGACAAACAAAAATAAAAGAAAGGGAAACTGAGAAATGAGACCTGCTATTTTTATATTGTGTGAATGTTTGATGATGATGATGATGATGATGATGATGATGATGATATTCAGATGGTCCTAAATTAAAAATTGTGTGCAGAATGGAGGAACTGATAGTTTGAGGTTACCTTATCATATTCATTTAATGTTATTATTTTTCTAGTTTTTCTCTTCTGTTTGATTCTGGGACAAGAAGCTAATAACAATGAGTTAGTGCTTATAGACAAGTGATGACACCTCATGTACCACAGAAGAAGATGAGAGCATTTGACATTAAAGGGAAATTAGTTTAATTTAACCAGTTGTATGGACAAAGTTTTTATACTTCCACGTTCTCAGCAGAAGACGAAGATGCTTTCAGACGCTGAGCGACGGTGACGACCACTTTAGTCACAGGGCTGAGGAGGCAACAGGACTTATTACTGCTGTTAGCAGGGAGGTCGTTAGGAGCTTAATGAGGGAGAAGGTTAGGGTGGATTAGTCAGGGAATTTATGTGTTGAACCAGTCCTCTGTGATACAGGTCAAGTCACATTTACAGTATTTATATAAGGAGTTTAAAAACAACAGCCAGTCAAGCCGACGTCGTAGTTTGTCGAGATCCTCACGTTTCACTGCGTCTTTACAGAAGTAAATCTGAGAGCCTTTCGCACGTTTGACTTACATCTGTGTTTCCACTGGGATTTCAACTTGAACATATTGTTGTGTGTCCAATTAGCGCCTCTTCGCCCTAACATGTGTCTCTAATGTGGACAGGACACATTGTCCTCCACTGTCCTCCTCTCCTGCAGCCTCTCATCTCCGAGTGTTATTTGCCCGCGGCCTTTGTCGTACTGTTTCACAGCACTTAACCAGTCAACGTGGGGAGTCCTTGGCTTAGGAAGTCCTGAGCCATAAATTTCATCTCCACAATGAGCAGAGCACAGGGGCTGGTCAGGACCCCCATTTACTTTCTAACCCTGCTTATTCATCCCATCTCTAAATAACATCAGGCCCTCCTGTGCTGTCCCACCCTGACATTCCTGATCCCTGTGTGTCACCCCTCTCTGTCCCAGAGTCGGCCCATACAACAGCGTCACTGCTGACTGCTACCACCGGCCCGCTCATTAACTCTCCCCCCCATTCCAGCCCTGTGTCCCATTCACACCGCGGCCCTCATTACAACTTTATAGGCCACCATCAGCCGTCCCCTCATTACCCCTGTCCGGGCTTGCGATGGTGTGTGGTCACTGCAGGTGTATGAGCTTTACAAAAAAATGTAAAATGGTCTCCAAAGTGCTGGAAATGACGAGTCGCAAAAGCGCGGTCAGCATTTTCAACAGTGACATGGTGGCCATTAGTTTGTCAGGTCTCACATCCATCTGTCTGAGCACGGTGACTAGGAAAAGTTGAATGGTAGAATATAGTTATTATTTGGAATTAGGGTGGGAAAAAAACTACATTACAATCTGGGTGGCAAAATGTATGCATATATATATATATACATATACATATATATATATATATATGTATATATATATATATATAGAGAGAGAGAGAGAGAGAGTACAGTACAGTACAGTATATCAACAATGGGCAGAGCCCTCTAGTTGCAGACTATGGTTGAAAGGAAACCCCTAAAATAAGACGGGAATTTTTCTGCTGATTTTGGGAGGTTTTTTTTTTAATTCATGGAAGAGTTTATGGTCAAATCAGTCCAGTCCAGACTCCGTTTATGATGAAAAACGTTCAGAACACTTTTAATGTTCTGAATGTTTTTTGTCATAAACAAAAAACAGTAGGAAAACGAGATGAGTTTTTCGTTGGCAAAACATTGATGTGAGGTTCCTATTGGACGTTCCTGCTGTCAGTCATTTGTTAATAGTAGCCCCTCCCACTGTGTTTTACCTTTTTTGATTCTCTAAATTGCATCACAACATATTGTGTAGTGTATGTGTAATGGAAAAAATAACTGAAACCAGTGAATGAGAGAGTAAATCATTGGAGATCAATTTGACTCGCATGCAGTTCCATACTGATCCAGCAGAGCATTTTTCAACTTCTTTTTTGGGCTTAACATCAAGGGTGTAGTATTAGGAAATATTTCAGGTCTCTGAGTATTATCTACATTAGGTAAACAATATTTAGATATGAATATGTTGTTGTAATATTAGGACAACTGTGACTGTGAGAACCCACAGTTATCTGAGGATCTTTTCTGTCGATGCTTCACCAGGCTAAATGCTCTGGGACATCAGTGTGTGTGTGTGTGTGTGTGTGTGTGTGTGTGTCAGTGTGGTAATGAACCCCTGGCCCTCTGTTTGCCCTCTGAACCTGCCGTGGCCTTGGAAGCAGGAATTCCAGTTAACACATCACAGATCTCTCCGCTTTTCTTCTTGTTTTGTGTTTTCTGTCGCTCTTCGCCAAACGTCGGCTGGGTGTGGACGGAGCCTGACAGCCACCGGCCCGCTCCCTCCTCTGTTTTCCTGTCCTCTTTCTTCCCTTCCTTTCTCCCTCTCATCTGTTTGGGCTCCTCTTTCTTGCCTCCTTTTCTGCTTAATTGAGTTGTTTGGCAGGCGGGCTTGTCAGACAGCAACGTCTATGTGGGGAGTCTGAGGGTCGGGGTGGGGGGGGCGGCGTTATTGTGCTCCCTGAGACGGGTTAGTTTTTCACTGTTACTGCTGCATGAGTGAACATGGCCCAGATTAGGAGCAGGGGGAGTCGGAGTTACATCTGAAATATGGAGCAAGTTTGTTGATGATCCTCATCACGGTTTAGGGAAAAAATAACTTAAAGTTCTGTCCATGAATCACAACCTAAAATCTGTGTCGATTATTTATTAAAATAGAATAGAAACTTCACTTATACCATTGAATAAATGTTATTGTTTTGAAAAGTGAACATAATTCTACTTCTGAAAAACATTAGAATTTGAAGGACTAAGAAAAACAAAAAAAAAGAACATTCCACCACAGCGAGCCTGGACTACAGAAACATATACAAAGTATTTATAGATTGTCTTTTTATAATTGGCAACAACTATTGTAGACATAATGTATGTATATATAACAGAATGGCACAGAAGTGATCCATGCAGGATTGAACATCTGAGGGAAAAAAATACACTCATCAGATTTATTGTATTTAACCTTTTACTATTGATAAGTTAAAAAAAAACTGTTGTTCAGACCAGAGACAGGGTCGACTCAGATTTAAGTGCTGAGCAAACCAATAAATATCATGTCTATAGAAGAGAGCAGAGTGGCCTGGAAAGAGGCAAACACTGACTGAGTGTGTGCAGAGTCATCAATCATCAGGAGAGAGAGAGAGAGAGAGGGAGAGAGAGAGAGAGGGTGAATTACACACACAAAGTTCTGTGTATTTATATATATCTGGAGCAAGAACGACAATACTATCTGTTAAAGTTAAAGTTTGACAAAATGATAAAAACGAATTGTGATTTTTTTTCTTTCTCTACATTCAAATAAACTGCATTCCATTTCTGTTATTGTATCATTACAATTCATTCACTCTCGTGTGTGTGTGTGTGTGTGTGTGTGTGTGTGTTTGAATAAGACTGAAGGAGAAACGTTCTCTTTCCGTCTTCCCTCAGGGTCCAAGAGCCTGTCCCAAAGACTGGACCGTCCATCTGCTCACACACAAAACCAGACAAGCAAGGGCAAAGGTTTGTGAGTCTGTGTGCATGTGTGTGTGTGTCTGTGTGTGTGTGTGTGTTGTTAATATGAATTTTTTAACGGGTTGAGTGTGAAGTCACAGTTACATGGTACAAGGTCTGGACCAAAGCCACTAGACTTCAGCTTCCTCCCTAAGGATGCTCTGTTTGTTCTTTAAAATCACACACACACACACACACACACATACACACACACACCTACAAATTCACACACATCTTTGACAGCTACCACCCCCACAAACACACATACAGACACACTCATGCCATCACACAGCCGTTCTCTTTCTGCTGACCAGCAGAAACCCTGAACACCTTAAACCAAGGACAGTGTATGTGTGTGTGTGTGTGTGTGTGTGTGCGCGCGCGTACACAGAGAGAGGCGTTAGCCCACTCCTCCAGCCTGCTGGAATGCCAAAACCATGGGGCAGGGTCAGCTCAGGAGTCAGATCGGTCCAGAGAAACGAGGTGCGGCCAGGCAGCGTTGTGCATTCTGATCACACAGGAACATGACTCTGACCTATTGAACAATGAATGGAAATGACTTCACTTTGAAGAGAGAGAGAAAAGAGTGTGTGTAGGCTGTGCCTTTTCCCCTGTAAGTCAGTACTGAGGGAGGAACTCACCTCTGTGCTCTTGAACACAGGAGAACAGACAAAGAAAAGTTCTTTACGTGTCAGTAAAATCCTCAGTGTTCCTACAGAACCACAACAGACACCGAGACGAGAGAACAAAAGTTCCTCCCACTTTTTCTGTGTAGTTTTTCCAAAGTGTACCGAGTTAAATGTTTTTCGGGGGGTTTTTTGGTTGTTTTTCTTTGCTATTTTGTTAACATAAATTCCAATTCTGTCTTGTGAACCTTTAGCTTTTTTAAACTATTTCTCTTTTATTTGAGCTGTAATTCTAAAACATGTCTGGACGTAGTGACTTGTTTAACAGTTCATATTTTTCAATATTAAATATTAACCTTTGTTCTAAACTAAATTTGTTCATTTGATCAAATTTAAATATATTTTCTCATGTGTGACCTTGTCTTCAACACAGTTTACTTTATATATGAAAATTTTATATTAATTCTCCTCTGATATTTATATATTTTAAAGAAGTAAGGCCATCAGTTAAAAACGTCAAAGTTTTTACACTTTGCCTTAAAATCTGCAGCAACTTTAAAGGCTTCTAAAAATGAACAGTTGTGGTTTGATGTTCCTGGATAAAATCAGTCCTTTTCCATATAAGGAATATAATATCTATGCATATTTTATATTGGTTAAAATTGTAAATAAATATATTTTTACACACAGGGACTACAAACATTTGACGCAGCATGTGTGTATGTGTGTGTGCTGGCCAGCCAGCGTTACCCTCCACCCTGAGTCCTCTGCTGGGAAGGGCACGGTCCAGTCCTCCTGTGTACAGGTGTCATGGTTGGACCTCTTCATTTACATACATTTGCATGCCGTCAAACGGAGCTGCTGCTGACAGCTTCCAGAGCCGACTGTCTTCCTGGACCCCGGCCCAGTCCTGTTGGCGTGGTAACACAGGACGGTGGAAAGGATGGCCAGACCCATCAGTTTCCCTGAGACCTTCTCTGAGACATCCTTCACTGGACACACATCAACTCCAGTGACCTCCAAACGTCAGAGTGAGGCCAGGAAAACAGGTTCTGGGTTTTCTGCAGCGTACAGTGTTTTAGTATTCAGCAGTGGACCAGAGGCTGGTCTGAGCCCCAGGAACTGAGACAGAAACCAAACAGGGCTGGTGTTTATCTGTTTGGTTTTTTACTTGTTTTTTGAAGAATTTTGTTTCTTAGATACATTGCACTACTTTGTTATTGTATCTTAATACATTGACCACAGTAAAGAGGAACCACTGGAACACCTGAAGTACTACTAAAACTGTACTGCTGTTTCTGTCAGTGCAGCAGCTCAGTTACTAACAGATTTTTTGGAGGTCATGCACTTCAGCAGATGTTTCCATCTCTGCCTGTTCAACATATATTTCTCTCTGTGAATTAAAGTTATGTTGTGAAATTCGTCAAAAAGTTATTTGGGATTTTATTGGATCTGTTGAAAGTGCAGTGACTTCATTTAAACTCAGGTCGCAATTCAAACAGAAGATACTTGAGTAAAGTAACCACAGAGTATTTGATACTGTCTCATGTCCTACAAAGGCAAAGAGAAGGTCCTGAGCTGTCCCCCTTCCTCCCCCCCTTCTGTCTCTGTCCTCTCTGCTCTTGGCAGTAGTTCGGGGATCCTTCAGAACAACTTGTTTGGCCTCCGATTTCTCGACATTCGGCACCAGGAGACACCGGAGCCAAAAGTCAGGACGAGCTCTTCTCTCTTCCTCTCTTCCTCCCTCTCCCTCTCTCTCCCTCTCACTTCAGCCTCCTCGGCGGGTGTTTGTCATCCCCCGCTGAGCCAAACAGACGTGTGTTTACCGGTTTACTGTAGCTGGCCGGGGAGGCTTGTCGGTGTGCAGGCCAGCGCTTTGTCCCTCACACTGTGAAACACAACAGCAGTTAGACTTCTCCCTGACAGCATGCTAATGGTCTGATTTACCTCTCCTATGTTTAATCATGAGACAGAGGGAAGGAGAGAGGAAGAGAGGGAGAGGATATGATAATTGGTCCAAAGTTTGTTTGTGTTGGATCCCATCTGTACACTTTGACCATGTTTGTCTGTTGCTTTTTCTTTTTTTTTCAGGGCAAACACACAGAGGCACACCAACAGAGGTCTGTGGTTTGGATTTGGGGAAAATAACGAGAAAAATATTTTCATTTACATTTTTCCTGAACAGGAGAGTTCCCAGAATTCCCTCAGTTGATGTTTTCTGATGGTCTGTTTTGATTTTTCTTTATTATTATTTATGTTGCAAAGATTTTTTTCCATTTTCCCTGATTTTAGGAACTGGATATCATATATACAAGGGTAAGTCAAAAAATCTAAGACATGTTAAGGATATTAAAATTTTTCACATGTCAAGGCGTCTGTAACGGTGCTGAATTATTAGCTCTGTTGTGATTGTTTTCATCATGTTTTTCCAGTCACAAATCAGAAATTGAAATCTACCCAAATTATGTAAAAACTATTGAAGCTTTGCAACAGATGCCCAAAGAATCTGTCTGTTATGTAGATGTTTTTCATTTTAATTTTTTTCATATGCACCTCATTGAACAGCTTTACTTGTAGCAATAATAAAAAGATAAGGGGCGATGACTGATAGAGCAAAAGGCATCAGGGAATCTGATGCAAGATCCTGCAATAATGACAGCTGGAGGGGTGGAAGGAAGGTTTAAGTCAATCAGCTGAGGAAAAAAAACTGTAGGAGTGAATGTTAATTCTGAGGTTGTTGGGAACGACAATCAGACAAAGAAATGGGTGAATAAAATACATATGTAAAAATGGTATTTCACACAAAAATGGGGACATTTCTTAAAAACTATTGCTACAGATTCTGCTAATAGATGACATTTACTTTCCTCGTCTAAGTTAACTTTTGATGCAGAAAATGTGTCACACACACAGAGATCCTAACTCCACACTGACACTTCAGTAACATCACAATCATCCACTGTTGATACTGAATCCTGAAAAGTGAGTCAACCCTCCATATTTCTGACTGCGGTCACTTCAGAAGGACAGTTTTGGACATAAATTGTCCGTGGAGCAGCTTCAGTCCTAAATGTTTGACGTGATTGTTCACAAAGCATCAACGGCCGCGTCACTGAGTTTTGTTTCTCTGTTGCTCTGAACGTGTGAAGTTTTTACAGACACACTACAGTGTGACAGACCGCCACAACAATCCACTGTCTCTGTGACACACACAATGGTGGGACTGTTCCACCACAGACGTACAAGTGTCCCAGCCATCTGTCTGCATAGCCCCACAGTACAAACATTGTCCTACACACACACACATCCACCCCCCAAAAAACACAAAACTGTCACACATGTATTATGTACCAATAACATGTTGAACAACACACTGACGACTTCATCAATAGTCTATTCTTTTTATGAATTAAGTTAAATAAAGTTTATGAAGACAGTTTTTACGAATGTATTTAAAATATATTGATGCTTGTTATTTCTAGCCAGTTAAGCAGATTTTAATAAATTATTAAACTTATTAATTTGATATTATGTTCTATCTACATGCAATATGTACAGTTTTTGTTTTACAAATTGGCTTAAACCTAATTTCTGAAAAGGATATATGTAACAGTGACAGAGTTTGCAGACAATGCTGGAAGTTTACTGGCTGTTTTAGTCACAATTATTTTCTTCATACAGGGAGCTGATACAGCGTCACATGTGGTTCAGGAACCACAGGTTGTACACCTCGGTGTAGAACTAGGTGAACGTGACTCAGCTGTATTATCAATTTTCCAACATCCTTCATGATCAAAATGACCTGGTTTAAATGGAACATTTTATGGACACTGGGTATCAGAGGAGGGACATCAGGATCCCTCTTCCCTCATTGCTCATCAGCTTTAACCAGTTGTGTGTAATTTATGTCTGAACTCACGTTTGTTCTTTTCAGTAACACAAACACTGTGGTTGTTTTGTGTGTTTGTTTGTGAGAACATGTGTGTTTTGGACTTATTCAGTGTGTCCCACAAAGACACAAACACACACCTGCAGCCGGGCCCACAGAGGAGACACTCATGCCGTGGTCTGAATGGTGTCACTTCTTCCTTTATTTTACTCCGGTTCTTTTCTCTCCTTCTTTATTTATTTCTGTTTCTTTCTTGCTGTATGAGCGACAGGCTGACCACTATCATCTGTGTGCCATCAGCCTACAGCGTCACAAAGACGACCCTGTCCTGTGTGTGAGAGACAGTTGGTGGTAACAGTGTAATTCACAGTGAGTGCTGTCACAGTGAGGGAAGCAGAGACACATTCACTGTCCAACAGATGGCTCATACATGCTGCCCAGGCCTGAAGACCGTCTATTCTCACACTCTGATGCCTGAAGGAGCTGCAACTGTTTCACTGTTTGTTTGTTTTTTGTTACACTGAAATGACAGAAAACACACTGTCAGCTGCAGGCGTGTGTCACGGCCACCAGACGGGACGTAAATCTAACTGGAAAAGGAAGCAGATTAAAAACAAATCTCCAGCTCCAACTCATTGAGACGTCCGACATAAATCAGAATATTAAAAAAATAATGTGACGTTTGTCTGCTGATTTGTCATGGTACAAGACAATTAACCTTGAGTTGTCCATCATACCAGGCCACTAGGGGGCCACAGTCCTACTGTGAGGTTCTTTGTCATCCAGGGCCTTGAATGGTTTATAGATTGACAAATCAGATATTTACTGTAAAAAAGTCGATCTTGAATGTGACAAATGTAAACTAAAGTGTTATGAACCTTCATCATTAAAGAGAATGTTTTTTTTAAAGTAGAAATGTATAAAGTAAAAAAAAAGGTTTAATCCTATAAATACTGTATAGTGCACCGGTGCAAATGAGTACTAATAATGAATGAACAAACAAAACAATTTAAAATAAAAATATTCTAATATTACTAATAAAAATATCCTCAGCTGCTACATAAACACCAAATCTAACAGTTACGATAAAAACACAGGGAATACGATAAAAAAAATTGTCGCGACGGGATTTACGCAGGATTACCACCCCCCTCCTACTCCTTCCCCCGGCTTCGGACCTCTATGTCTGCGCCAGCATGTGGCGCTGTCACTGTTGCCTAGAGAAAAACACTACACACCGACGCTGTGCACAAAACCCGCGCATTAAAAAAAAAGAAGAAAAAAGTCCACTACTCCTAATTAAGTACTCCACCACAGCTTCTTCTTCTTCTTCCAAATTCACCACTTTCGCGCTGTTTCGTGTAGTTACGTCACAAAGATGCGACAGAACAGGAATAATAAAACGGACGTGACGTCAAAAGCTGAAAAATTCACCGCTCGCTTTAAAAGGGACAGGTGTACAGAGTCATACCTGGTGGCGGCTCAGGTAGGAAGGTAGGTGATGTTTGGAATTAAATTTTTGAGAATAATAATTGAATAGCTTAGACTCCACTTAGAGGGAAAGTTTTAGTCTTTTTGGTTTGCCCTGGTCAGGAGGACCAACCCCTTAGTAGCAGGAAGTTCTCACCCACAGGATGTCTTCAGGTTTGTTCTTCACGTTGATCAGTGTTGAATCTATTCACTCTAATCTGCCCAGTGACTGATCTGTGTGTTTCTATGGACCAGAGTTGACAAAATATGGAGAAAAGGGATCTTACGCTTATATTGGATCCAATAAACCTGAGACTACAGAACTTGGTGAAGCTACGTCCTGGTCAAGACATGACTGCAGCCAAGATAATCCAGACCTGCCTCCTTCCTACTGGGGGTCTTAAGGTGTGTTCTTAAGCATAATCCCCGTTATGGTCAGTCGTGTAGAAAATTCACTCGACTCATTCATGTTTAGGTTCTGGCTCACTACAGCTGACAGAGGTTTCCATTCTAATCTCTGCTCTGTTATATATGGTTTTTTCTGCATGCAAAAAATCAACCTTTTTTGCCTCCCAACCTGCTGTTTTGACATCTGAAATTGGGGGAGGAAAACTGGCATGTTGATTTAAAAAAAATAAAATAAAAGTTAAGATGTATTCAAATCCAGTTTTTAGCATATTGTTGAAAAATTGACCAGAAATTTCTTATTTAACTTGTTTCCATTTCTGAGAGGTGGCAACCCTCATCACAGCACCACCTACCGTACCTGCAGCCACACTGTGCTGCCTTGACATTCCAGTCCAGATCTTCTCACGGACATTGTGTGAACACGACTGTTATCTGAGACTTCTGAAGCTGCTGTAAAACTATAGAGACCCATGTCTGGGTACTGTCTCCCAATTAGTCATTTCTACAGAGACTGTTGCCAACATCTGAAACAACAGCCAGTGTATTTAGCAATTAGCTGCATTGTGGCCAAATGGGAGTGGGAGTGTCCTGGCAGAGAGAGAGGAGAAAACATCAGGGCTGAACCTGGAGACGGAGCAGGGTAGAGACAACTAATTTCCCTCAGGAGGACTCAGATGCACACGAATACAGAATGTATACGTACATACAGACATATGCACACACATAGACATGCAGTAACACACACACACACACACACACACACACAGAAGCCATCTCTTTGTATCTTTGATAAAATCCCAGAGGAGTTGAGGTTTGTAGGCAGCCGCCACAGACACAGTGCTGACCACTGTGTTGTGTGTCTCCTGTCTAATGAGGAGGTGCCAGTACCAGCAGTTCATTTACAAGAAGACAGTGGCACAATCGCACACTGACTCACAACTGACATTTACAGGCAATTAGGACATGGAGCCAGAGAAATGTGTGTGTGTGTGTGTGGGTGAATGTGGGTGTGCGCGCGCACTTTTGTTGGTTTACCATTTTAAACTGTCAGAACTGCCCTGCAGCTAATTTTGTAGCAAACTGCTAATAATGGAGGAAAAATTATCTAATTGCACCTTGACTTATGAACATTAGCCTTGGATATCTGTGAGTTACATGAGGGACAAACGTGTTAATAAAGTTGTTATTTTGTCATTATACTTTTTTCCAGATCATTGAACAATAATGTCAAGTAAATTGTCAAAATGACACTGTCAGAAATGAGCTTTTAGTAAAACATGTCATTAAAATATCTAAAGCTGCACTTCAAATGTCAAGATACACTTCTGTAGCCATTATTTTAAATAAACAAATAATACAATAAATAAATAATGGCTTGAGAAAGCCCAATCGTACCTAAAGGTTAGCATGATGACAAGATGAATAAGGGTTAGCCCAGAACTAAGTAAAGCAAAGTAGCTAACCATCAGAAATGGCTAAATGTAAACCAATGGTTAAATTGTGACATAAATATGTAGCAATTCCAGTAGTCAAAACCTTGGGCAAAACTGCTTAAAGTTCCAAACATGAAAAAAAAGTATGCAATGTCAGAAATTGCTTAAAAGTTTAACCAAAAAGATACAAATAGCCAAAAATTGCGAGGTTGATAAAAGAAGACAGATTAAATTCAACGACTAACAAAACTTTAAGGATAACTTGTTGTTAGATATTTATTGATCATTCGTTATTTTAGATTCTCTGTCCTCAGATGAACTGATAGAGAACCTCACTCATCCTTTCAGGATGACCTAAACAGCAGATTGTGGTGTAGCAGTGATTGGTTTGAGGATCACACATGTGTGATGTAATGCTGCTTGCATCACACTGTATCTCCCACAGCTGATGACAGACAGGCCTGTTTCCCCTGCCAGCACATCCCAGCTGCTATGAGGCAATGTAGTCTGCCAGGCACAATACGGCCGTCAGCCTCTAACAATGGAGGACTTGTGCTGCCTGGATGGCATCATTGTCACACTTTCTCTTTCTTTTTATTTTGGAGGGAGGGAGGGATGTGTGTTGTTGTTGTTGGTTTTTTTTTTGTTATTATTGTTGTAGTTTTATGGCTGTCTAGGTTAGACACACATTATTATTATTTTTAAGGCCTGTATTGTTGCCTGGGAGACAATAGATGCCATGCGTGAACGTGCTCAGAGTGGATGTGGGTCGTGGGAAAATTATGGTTTGTAATGACATTGTAGGTCAGCGTGGTATGTTTAGTCAGTTTAGTCAGACACTTAATGCTTTTATTTTTTAAAAAGTTGATTTAATTTCTATACATATTTAAACAACCATAAATAATAGCAATAATATTTTGTTTCCTTGTCTGATGGATTTTATTAATATCTTTCTAGTTCTAGTAATTCTAGTTTAGTAAGACCTGTGTTCTAATATGCTGACCCAGTCCTACATCACTCATATTGTGCAAAATATATTATATTAAATATATTATAATTGGCCTATTGACAAACAATCGTACGTAATTAAATTTAATATGTCATGACAAATAAAGAATTTGATTTCCCAAATCTGTGAGACGTTTGTATGTTGTATGAGGCTGTCAGGAGGAAGGATACTAAAAAATAATACAGGAATTTTTCTACCATTTCATTTCCAAAGGCCACACTGGCAAACATAGGCCAGCTGCTACAGTAATAATCCAAGGATCAGATATTTAAACTGTGCTTTTTAACTCAGTAAGTGCTCAAAGTATCGTTACCAATGCTATGCAACAAGGACTTACTCTTCACAGGAACAATTGTATGTGTTTATCTCTTAGACTTTTAACAGAGTTTACAACAGCGCACTCTTCGATCTAAACATCAGCCATGTGTCAGGATATAAAGTCACTTGACATCATCACACCAGAAACCGACGCACGCACATTCAAAAATGTGAACCGATAAATAACAAATTTTCACCACGAATATTTTCCTTCTTATTTTCACCTTCATCTGTATTTGTATTATGTATTCTTCGCAGCCACCGGGATTAATCTCAATCTAAATCCTAAAATCATCATCACATTCACTCCTACCTGCAGTAATCATCGTGTGAACATGTTTGGCCACTGTATGGAGATTTAATTGTAAAAACAAAAAGTAAAATAAATAGGTAGTGCAGAGGGGCATTGGTGCGTCCACGCAATGACTCATGGGAATACTGCTCCCAGGTTTTAATGAACCATTAATTGTCTGTGTTTTGACCTGAGGCAGTCAGCAGTGTCATTAACAAGGCACCTGTTTACTGTATGTAGCACAGTAGCTTGTTACTCACAGAGTATTATTAACACATCCTCCCATTACCCAATTATACAGCAGGTTGATTAGACAAGGCAGTCAAAACAGTCAGAGCACAGTCTACACACCAATTAACGTGGTGACTGGTATATTTAACGTTATTACTCATGAGTAAAAGTACATTTGTCTTTCTCCTTAAATTTAAATATTCTTTATTTATTTGTTTAACTAATATTTAACAATATTCTTCAGAGTTTTTTCTCTGTGGAACCAGAGATTTTTTTTTTCTTGAGATTGTTGTTCATGCACCAGTGTTGTCTCGACACAACCTTAAAAATAAATTGTCATTAAAAGTCAACAAATACTATGTAAATTTGCTTTTGTTTTGCTGATTGTTTACTGGCCTTTAGTAATTGGTAATAACTAAAACTAGTGGTCATTTAAGTCTCATTTCTGCAGTGACATTCACATAACGTCTGACCTCTGTTTCCTCTCCTGTGACATGATGAGGCAACAAATGATCAGATCCACTCAGGCGTGACAGAGACACAGACCTGAGACCTGCTACAAGACACTGTTACTAAACTAATTAGTCCCTGATCTGGTCTCACTTCAGCGTCGGTGGACAGACCTGTACCGTAGAAGTGTGTTTGACCTTTTTAAGTCTTTCAGCCGTACACGTGTCATAAAGTCACTCCTGCTCTGTCCCCCTCTTTCTCACCCCCTGTTCCCCTGATGTAGAGTTAAAGTCATAATCCTACCCCTCCACCCTCGGCCCTCCACCTCGCCAGCTCCCACGAGCTTTGCCTGCGCTCATTAGCGAGTATTTTTTCCCATGTTTGTTAATTGTGTTCCGCTTTTTGCACCACCTGCCCTCCCTCCTCCCTTCACCTCCTTCTCCTTCTCTTCCTCCTCCCCTCTTTTTGCCTCCCTCTCTCTCCCCTGCCTCCTGAGCTCTCTAACAGACACTAATTGTCATCATAAGGATGTGTTCGCTGTCACAACTGGAGAACAGACTGCAGACCGACAGCGTGCAACCTGGCTCCTCTGGCCCCAGGAGACCTCGGCCTGGGCCCCCGGGAGCCTGGGGGACCTTAGGCAGACAGGAAACCTCCCTGTGCAAAAGTAACTAATGAAGACAGGATAAGAGTTTTACCTGGCAGAGAGAGTGAAGAAGAGTTAGCGAACTCAACAACGCCAGACTGGGAATTGATTGGAGTCAGTAACAGATATGTTCACTGATAAATGAGCAAAAATAACAGGACAGGAAAACAGTGAAGGTTCTAATTATGATCTTGTTACTTTTGAGATTTTCTGTTTAGTCTGATATTTGGATATAGGTATCTAAAGTATGAACCTATAGGCCATTTGTTGTATTACATGACTTTTAGATGGCTACTTTGAATTTATTTACCAAAATAAAAATAATGATATCACTATCACTATCCTTTAGCCTGCCTTAGTTTAACCTGATGTTATTGAATATGAGCTGTATTTTAAGTGACAGGTTAAGTTCTAAGGTAACATACAATAGTTATGCCATATATTAGAAGAAATAAGGCACAAATAGAATATTTTGTTCATTCTGGGTTTACATCTTCATTTTTATTTCACATTTTCATCTTTCTTTCTTTTTTGTTTTTCTTCTTTGTCCATGCAACACACCCCCACTGGTTTTAAATTCTGATTTATGCATAAACGTTTTTACAAAAACTTTTAAATAAATGATGGAATTATTATATGTGGCAATATATAAGGTCAATGACGTAAAGTGAAAGTAAATGAAGAGTGAACGACTGATGAAGTTTTACTCCAGTGAAGACTCTTTCAGAAGGATGTTTGTGTCTATCTGCATGTGTGTCCATACATGCACATGTGGTGTGTGTGTGTGTGTGTGTGTGTGTGCAAGTGGGAATTTGTGCAGTGTGGCATGTGTGCCCTCAGCATGGGGCCACGGTGGGCCCAGTGCAGGCCAGCTGGAGGCTCAATCTGTTGAGGGGGTCCACTGCTCAGTGGAGGGAGGTTGACTGGACCCACAACGATGCCCCAGATCATTTGCCCCGCAGCCTCCCCTCTGACCACGATACGCAGCTTGGCAGGTACAGCCAGCGGCTGACAGCTCCACATAACCCAGGCTGTGAGACACCTTGGTGAGGAAGGAAAAGGAGGAGCAGGAGGAGTCAGGAAAGGGATGGAGGGAGCGAGGAGGTGGTTCAAGAAAAAGAGTTGAGGAATGGTTCAAGTTCAAGCTGCAGGCAATGTAGTGATTCTTCTAGTGACTGTTCAAAATGACAACACAAAACAGGAAGGGTTGACGAACACAGCGTAACACAGACTGATATCTGTCATTTGCAAAAACTGACGCTGTAAATTTCCCCATTGTGGGACAAAGGACTCTTTGTATTATTATTGTTCTTGTTCTGTACTGCCATAACTAATTATGTTATTTTCACTTTGATTTTGACAAAAGAAAAAAATAATTTAAAGACGTTGTATAGTAGTATAATAGTCATCCTTTTTTTTCAATTTATTTGTAATTTTCACTAACCATATAAGAATCGATGCTACATTGTTAGCTTATCCAGCTAATCCTCTTGTTTTCAGCTCAGCCATATCCATATTATGTGAAAAATATTTTTTTAAATGATTAAAAAATAGGACAGGTTTTACCCTAATGAAAGGGAAAAGCTAAAATATCACATTGTTCAAGAGTGTTAGCTTCTATGAACAATGAACTTTGTACACAACCAAATCTATAATATAGATTTATTGGCAGCTTAATCAGCTAATCTGAGCAATTATTTTTTGGTGAAACTGAATTCACTTAATAAATAGAATAATTAATAAAAGTGATGATGAAAAGTTATGTGAGTTTAATACTACAGTACATAACTATTTGTCTGGAGATCTAAGTATGTAAGGTGTGATCTGATGTGCAGTGTGTGTAGCAGTTCATTTAAAAAAAATGTTCTCTAATATTAAATTATGTCCAATTGTTTAAATTAAAAATATGTTTTAATATTTTTGCATGCTAAATAATAGTAATAATAATAATAGATTTTAAATGTGTGTGATGTGTTTCCTTGGGCTTTGTTTCCAAAATACATTTGGCAGTCTTTGGTTAGTGTGTGTGTGTGTGTGTTTGTCACCGAAATTAGTCCTCTCTCCTCCCTGACAGTTTGATGCAGGGCACCAGGGTTACATCTGAGGGACTGGTTTTTTTTTAGCGGTCACCACCGTACAGCAGAGGCACTAGCTGGCACCATCTGGACACACGATCCAACGATTTGCCTTGGCCACTGTCCATACCTGCTTGTTACAAACACATGCATACACGCACACTCACGCACTCACACACACACACATACAGAGACAAGCATGTGCATGTGTACTGGGGTCACGCTCCCTGAAATGACAGGCAAAGAGCAGATGTCCGTCAACCCTCGCTGTCCTGTTAATGAAGCAGAAACACAGACACTATGCAAAGCACTAACACACACACACACACACACACACACACACACACACGCATGGTTTGGCCTAACTCCAACTAAATATGCAGCCTTTTCCAACACCTCTGATGAATTCCCATGTGCAGGCTGCTGAACGTCTTTCATGCAGATAGTTTAGCCGTTACTTTTCCATTCAACTCGTCCATTTAGACTACTGATGGGAACATGTTCTCAGTTCTCCTTCACAAAAGCATTTTGTGAGTGCCATGCGTTGCTGCCTCTGTGGGTTACTGTGGCATCATATCATGTCCATTGAAGGGCCGCACTGTCCCACGCCCCCCTCTACCCTACTCCCTCCCTCCTTTGTCATCATCACACTGAGCAGTGGGGTGAAGTAAGGGATTGTGTGATCCAGTGAAGGGTGGCTGTTATCACAGATTCCAACCCCGGTCATGTAGCTGACATCACCCTATTACTTCTTTTCTGACACTGAGAAAATGAACAGTAGGTCACTAAGGTCGGAGTGAAGAACATTTAAATACACTTTATTCAAAGAGATGTTGTTAAAGGCAAAAGTAGATGGATAGATTTGTGCACATATTTCCATGCATTAAACAATATCACAAAACCTCCTCATTTTCATCCCTCAGAGATAACAAAGATGTTATCTCTGAGGGTTACTGCACAGAAAACTCTAAATAAGTAGAGATTAACTCATTTACACTTCATGTAAAGCAAAAGATTTCGGTGGTAAATAATCATCTCAGGATTACAAGAAATAAAAGATGACCTTAAACGTTCACCAGATATTCCTTTAAGACATTTGGGGGAAATGGAACTCTGTCGCCCTCTATTGGTAAAATAAAATTAAACCATGGTCCGTTACTAAAGTAGCATCGGGACAAAACAAACAAACGGACAAACGGAGAGATAAAAACGAACTTACATTCACAACTACAAAACACAACCAAACATGTACACAGTGTTTATTCTAGCTGTAAAATTAGTTACAGCTAAAATTTAAAAATAAATACTGTAAATAATCACAGTTTGCGTATTCCTGTCACGTATGACATGGTGACATGGTTATTTTACTTTGGCAATGTTGAGTGTCATTGTGTTGTATTTTAGTAGTTATTATAGACGAATAAGAAAAATAATAGATTTTAATGCTTTATGGATTGACAAAGTTATCCATAGTTTTGATCTTATTTTCAATCCTGTAACAAGATCAAACTTGCCAGGTATTGTCTTTTGTTTTTTCTGCCCACTTGAGGTGACAACAAACTATAGATATACTTCAATGATCCCAAGCTAATAATATAATTACAGTCGTTGAAATGATTGAAAAATACCGCTGTGCAAAAACAGACAAATCACTGCTTAGGCAAAGAAACAACTCCACTTCACAAAAAGTTGTTTGTTGCTTCTCTTTATTCACTTACTTCATTCAAATCATATCACAGAAAAATATGTAATGTCTAGTAGTTACAGTGATGATCACTGAGACAGACACATGAGAAACAGTTTGAGGTATGAAGAGACACAACGTCAAACACTGCATGGCGGCAGGTGTGCTGACTTGTTATGAGACACTTCTTTACATTGTTGGTTGTGGTGGTAGTTGCGGCGTCATTTAGTGATCACAGCCAAACAGCTCCATGGACACTCTGTGCTGGTCAGGCAGAGCCTTAGCACCAACGAGCAATGCAGTGCTGTCAAAGCGGTAGAAGTGGTTTCCTACGATCACTCTAATTCCGTTCTTGTCACACTTGGCAGCATCGACCTTCTGAAAGAGGGCCATTGTTTTCTCCTTCTCTGGAACACGAGGGCTGTTCTTCAACTCCACATCATAGATGTGATTATCTAGATGATGGTACATACAAGGATATGCAGGAATTTACGATCATGTTTTCTTGAATCTGTTTTTTAAAAAAGGCAGTGTTCATATATTGTAGATCGTTCTTGTCGACTGCAGTTATTGGCTCACCTTTGATAATGTGAACAATGTGGTTATCCTCGCAGACAAATGCAGCATCAATGTGGCCATCAACGCCAAGTTCCTCCTTCACAGACTTGGGGTAACCTTCCAGGAGGGTGTGGTCATCACCACTTTGGTAAACGAACAGCTTGTCATCCTGAAGGATAAGGAAATAATAGAAAATGACTTTTGTTGGCAATAAAATAACAGACGTTACAGTGATGACCGAAAATAATGGCAGGATTGAAAAGAGGATTGTGCTGGTTCTCCAATCTACCTTGATCATGTAAAGGTGATCCTCATAGGTAAAAACAGCATCCACGTCACTGTGCACCTCCTTAAAGGCATCCTCGATGTCAGCAACTGTCAATGTGTCATTGCCCTCATCTCTGCGGATGTAATGGTGGCCTAAAGAGAAAAAACAAACAAACAAACAAGCAGATAGATTAGATAGACCCAGGGTGAATGTGTATGGTATATGACTATATACCTGTTAGCATCTTGTGGCACAAACGTGTTAGTGGTGTAGCTAGGTTGTTACCTAAACCAGCTATTTTGTGGCACAACTGTGTCTGACGCTAGCTAGCTAAAACTAATCTTGGATTGGCTCATTAATTAGATAGACAGACAGACAGATAGATAGATTGATAGATAGATTGATAGATAGATTTGGATAAAAGATTCTTGTAAATAATTGCTGTGGTTTCTCTATTTCCAACAGTGTCAAAGCAGCATATTGTCAGATCTAACCTCTAAAAGCAAACATGTTTCCATCATGGTCAGAGGTGATAGCATCAAGGTGAACATGGCTGCAGCGCTCTCTCTCTACCTCATCAGTGTCCTCACCTGGACACAAAACACAGAGGTTTTACAGGAAATGAATGAAGGGAAACCTAAATTTATACCATCATCATCATTTAACTTGTCATTATCGACAACCTATAATGAACTTACTGTAGTTGGCACATTTCATGAAGTAGTCCCTTGTCACTTTGGGGTATTTGCCGTGCACCTCACCAGTCTTTGGGTCAAACCTGGAGAACTTGAATCCGTGGAAGCAGTAGTAGTGCTCCATGAAACGGAAAGCAGCTGTGCAGTTGGGCATGGTTTTGAACTCATGGTGCTCTTCCACAGACTTGTTTTTGACGGTGAAGTGGTAGATCTCATGTTCTGTGGACAAACAAATGAACTTGGGGTGAGCTTTAAGAGCTGGGCTGTGTCGAAGAAGAAGCAGCGACACAACCTAATCTGTCTTCTGCAGTGAACCCATTTGTCACACTGGAGCCGTGGGCTGCACTACCCAACAGACCACAGCCCTACGAGGGCTGGGAATCAAACTGGCAATCTTCCAATCACAAGCCTGCTCCTTTGACCACAAAGGCTGATAGATAAGACCACATGGATGCAAAGGCATAGGTGTTAAACCACCTCACACTTTGAAACATTTGACAGAAGTCTAATATAATTATAGGATTACTGTAGAAAGGCTAAGAATTTGTGCTAACCCTTGAAGAAAATGACAGAGTCCTCCTCACAGTCTGGTTTGGGACAAGGTACAGCGGCATCCAGGTGGTCAGGGATTCCAGGGAAGGCCTCAGAGATGTTCTTGGGGAATCCGTCCTCCAGCTTGTGTTTGTAGTAGCTGAAAACCTTGTCATCCTGCATCAACAAAGGGAACCAGTTTAGAGGCAAAATAATTGATGACGATTAGTGTCTGTGTTTTGTGTCTGTTGTACATGTGAGTACAAACTGCTGTCAGCATTTAAATAATCTTCTGTTTTTTAATAACAGGTGTTTGACCGATCTGCCTGGCACTTTTCCAAGTATGACTAATATCCACAGAATTATTTGCAGTCGATTACATTACCACTGGAGTTGGCAGAGTTAATGTAAATGATTAGTGACCAGGACGTACAGGATACAACACTGGTAATAAAAAAAAGGTTGACATAAAGTGAGGCCGGAGTTGAGACTCCTGCTGTGCTGTGGCAACCTCTGAAATCAATGACTGAGGCTTACCAAGAAGAAGAACATGTGATCGTGGTCATGGCCATCTTCGTGGTGCAAGCGGAAAGCAGCATCTACGTGGCCCAAGTGGTGGTCGTCATCCATTTCAGCAAAAGACTCATTTGAATTCTCAGCTTTGCCACTGAAGCCCTTGAACAGATAGTGGCCTTACAGAAAGAGATAGTTTTTTTAAATATAACAACATGGACTAACATGGATTTCTTGTCTTTAGGCCAGAATGAACTTACCTTTGAAAAAATAAGGGACTCCATCTTCGTTGACTGCAACAGCATCCATCTCAAGGCCTGTACAACGATCAGGAGCGTCATGGTCATGTTCATGGTCATGTTCATGGTCGTGGTCATTTCCATGCTTGTCATGTCCATGGGCTTTGGCGTGGTCTGGTGGTCCATGATTGTCATGTCCATGGGCTTTGGCGTGGTCTGGTGGCCCTGCATGGTCTGGCCTAGAAAAACAGAAGACAACTGTTAAAAAGGCAGATTCACACAGACAAGCAGTTTGGGACAAAGGTAACTCATTATTATAATCTTTGAGTCTCCTCCTTCTCCCCTTCCACAGCTAACTGAACACATCTCCCTTACAAAAGTATTTATAAAACAGTGTAGATTACATACTTATCAGCCAATACCAGTGCGAGGGTCAGGCAGAGACACAAGACTTGGCTGAGTCGCTTCATGGTGAGTCCTTTGGTCTAGGAGGTACTTGATAGGCCTGGAGCTGAACTGATACCCAATGAGCTGCAGTGGCCATCCACCTTTTATACTGTCATCTGCATCAGGTGAACCCTGTCACACTGAGTGAAGAGCAGGAGGAGGAGGGAGTGGAGGGGGTGATGGACAAAAAGGACAATGTGCACCTGTCCAGGCTTAGTCCTGGTGCATTTAGGGCCATGGCCATCAAGTCCACTGATCAGCCCACACAGAGCAGCAGAGGTTTAGGGCACACAGGATAAATCAATACTCAATCAATACATATAGTCTGTACTTATAATTGATAACTGTAGGATCCCCCCCCCCCCCCCCCCCCTCTGTTTTTGACAGATACCGACATGTCAGCAGAAAGCTTCCCCTAAAGGACCATTAAAAGAACTGCTTGTCGGTTCCATAGTGTAGTGGTTAGCACGCCTGCGTCTGAAGCACAGCGCAGAGAATCCAGGGTTTGATTCCCAGTGGAACCACATGCTTGGCGCCTGCTGGGGGCAGTCTGTTAACAGCATATCTGCTGCTAACACAACAATTTCCCAAATATGGGATCAGTGTAGTACAAATTAATTTTATTATTTTACTTAGCTGCATATTCTACTTTTTTGTACCTTTTCAGAATATACTAGCAACTTGTGACGAATCTTCCTCCTGGATCTGGTCCAGATGTGAGGTTACTGACTCAGTGACCACTCAAAAATAAATATATTGCTGTAATCAGCAATCCTCAAAAAATAAATGTTGTTCAACATTAGTGAACATTAACAGAGACCTAACAGAGTGAAAGTACACTGTCCTGCCTCTGCCCTTGTGAACTACTCAATAAAGAAAGCAATGAGCTGGTTTCCTAGACTAAAATACCAACAGCACTATGAACATTTTTGCTGAAACAATTCTAGGCAAAGTGACCAAATTGAAGTATATAAAATCTGTGAAGAATTCTTGGGGTGTCTGTGCTTATTTCAACCCACTTAATTTGTGGAACTGTCAGTGTTAAGAATTACCTAAAAGAACTGCACAATAACCTGCTTACATGCCCGTGCTAAATCTATTGGGTTCAAACAAAATATGATAACTTGAACTCCAGTATAAATTGTAATTCAATAATTGTATTCACTGGATGAACAGTTACTATTAATCTAAATGGTCAGAATCAGGACAAAAAGTCAACATTCGGAGACCACTCCTGCTGCAGGTGAACTCAGTCTCAAAGGTCAGCAAGGACACTGATTTGTTTGCCTTTGAAATCCATATTGAACTTTGCTCTGTGGCTTCCTTCCATCACAAATGACGCACACTTTTTTGACCACAGGCTCTGAACTGTCTTTACAGTCTCAAACAGCTACTGCTGAGGATTCTGCTTAGTGCAGAAGGTGAAACAACTAAGTGACAGTCCCTGCATAAATTCACGTAACCACAGCTGGCAAAGCCACAGCTCTGCTGCTTCATGACGTTGTTCTGTTCAGTCGGATCAAATTAAAACAGATTAATGATTTAAAGTAGAAAAAGTGCACATGTGCAAAACATGTGCACGTTTGCAAACTGATCTTGGAATTCCAGAGGCTGAATTAATCTCTGTCTGTATGTTTGTCTGTCTCTGTTTGCTTCATTTCAACCATCACCAACTTCTAAGAACTACATGTGCTTCTATAGTTTCTGTTTGGTTTCATGTAAACTGTAGCTGCTGTGCTGCAGTTTGTTCAATCCTGGGAAGAGAAAGCTCAATAAGTTTATCAAGGCAAGTCTATTAAAGGTGCAGTCTGCAAAGTTTAGCAGTGCTTACTGGTGCCTTATTAGAAAAAATCATTATACAGTACTATTTTATCCATCAATATATGTAAATATACAGCAGGTGAAAGGGCAGAGACCATATTTTATTGAGTTGTTTTGGAAATGACATAAAAGACTCCAAAAGTGTTTTGCTTTTTACCTTTTACAAGTAGTGGTGCAGTTGTACAAAAGTTATCAAGATCGGGGTCGTAGGTCACAGAAAATGTTTTTAATGGGAACGATTGGTCTTTGGAACATGCTTAAGACGTGGTTTCTAATTTACAGACAGTATCTGTAAGATCCCTTACTTCCACGTCTGATGATACATTTGTTTCACTAGTTCCCAGTTGTTAGTATCTTAATTGTATTCAGAATGTTTAAAGGAAGGTAAATTTGTCAGTAACGGTTGTTTGTTTATTTTACGTCAACTGGCAGATATTTTGTCTTTAAGATAAAATGTAAGGAAATATGTAATTACAACACAATTCCAGTAGGGGGCTCTCTTGTACATGCAATGCATCTTCTAACGAAACAAGAATATCCGAGACAATCAATGTCCTTGTCCTTAAATGTTACTAAAGCTTTTAAAAGGATTTAAACAAAAAAAGTTAAACGGGATAGATAAACAGTATCTAGTCATTATTTTACACATTAGCAACTGCAGTATCTCTACACTGATATACAGTAAGTCACATTGATTAACAGTCCATAAAACAAATGCATCTTTACTGACAAAAACTAGGTTTTGAAGCATTATTTACCAAGAAGAGACCTTGGTATTTATTGGCCTCTTTGTTAGAATGTAGAGAATTAGCTAATGGGGTGAAAAGGTCATTTCTCGTTTCACTGCGAGCTCACACTGTGAACGTGGGACAGTTTGAGGGCCGTACCAGGTTAAAGAGTTTGAACAGTTTAGTTGAGACCAAATGTTTTACATTATATTCCTAAATAGGATGTTAGTCCGTTCTCTGTGGGTCAATCTCTAAAACGGTTTTATAGCTGATGGTTTTATTGCAGAGACCCTGTTGTTTAGCTCACACCACAGTTTAATGTTTTTGAGACTATTACTTACTGGAGATTTTTATGTTCTTTACACCACCATTAAAAAAAATCAAAGTAGAATACTCAATGTTTTTATGATGGAGATTGTTATGAAGTTATGTACCTCTCCAGTTTTCTTCAGACGTGGACAACATTTTTAACACAGACTTCACAGACTTTTGTACAGTTTGTATCTCTGTAGCAGACTGCAGCAGAGTCTCCTCTAATCTGCTGCAGCCTTGCTCCAGGTGGTTTTCAGTGGACTTCAGACTGGTTTGGAGCAGAAGTGGAGCTTCCTTGGTCTGTAACACAGCAGTCTAATGTTGAAAGGCTTTCGTGTCTGTCTTCTCAACCTTTAAATTCCAGACAGCAGAGGCATTGATTCAAGTCTTAAAAAGCAATTCCAGTATTTTGTTACTATTTCTCTTAAGTATTTCTTTATTGCTATTAAAAAATCTAGCCTTTACAATTTGGGATTGTACGCTCTAATCTCTGTTTATATTTCATTCTATATTTTAAAAAACATTATCATTAATATTTAATGTTTTATATCCTCAGCTCATGTCTGGACTGCTTTGTGTAAGTGTTAATGTTACTCATACGCTAAAATTACTTTGTGTATGACATCACTTGACCGTGGTACTCTTGTCAATATGCGGTTGTACTGTGTGACAAATTTAAAAAGTGAAAAAGCTTATTAAATAAAATGAAAACTACATGGTGAAATTCTTCCTTTTAACGGACTTGAATGAGATTGATTTTTTTTTTTACCCTTTTGTGAATTGAACTTTTTTTATTGGTAAATGATGTTTACTTTTTTAAAACACTTGTATGACGTATTGTACGTTACTGCAGAAGAATGAGTGTGTGTTGGACCGGTGTTAACATGTGTGTGTGAAAGCACAGTCCTGTAGAGGGTGTCCTTGTCAGACTCTTGTCTATTTTTGTTTTCCCTCCCAGTGAAGAGGTAGAAATGAGCAGCTCTCAGAGAGGAACCAAATCAGAGAGAGGGAGAGAGGGAGGGAGACTTAAGTGACCAGAACATCTGCGGAGGGAATTGCATTAAGTTGCAGTTTAATGTGATAAAGCAGGGAGGATTATGGGAAAGGATACACGTGATTGGATCCGCTGAAATGTTTGGAGTTGGTTTGTGTCGGAGAACAGCGAGTCGGATGGAGAGAGTCAGGTAAGAGCGTGTGTTACAGAAGGAAATGACACTGATCGTGTGTGTTTGTAGTTCATTTTAAAGCTATCAGTGTCTCGTGTAGTTGTGAAGTAATTGTATGTTCGACGCCGTGTGTGTCTTTGTTGTCCGTGGAGGTTTGTGAGTTCTGCCTGTTCGAACACATCAGCTCCTGGTTCATGTTACCATCGTGTCATCATCATCATGCTGTTGCCGACTGTAAAAGACAGGTGGAGATACAGGCAGAGGTCAGATCACCTGGCGATCCATAACCACACTAATGAGCTCAGGTTGTAGGTCAAGCAACTGATTAAATGTGGATTTTTAACTCTTTCCACCTGGTGTGGAATCTAATTAAAAGGAAGTTAGCATGTATTCATCACCTTTCAATTTTTGTTATCCGACAGAAAGCCATTTCTAATCCATCAGGTGTGTGTTAGGTTCAGTTGAAATTTTATTAATGATATTCAAGTTTGAGTGGAGCTAAGCCATGGGTGGGCAAAGTTTTGGCTCACGGGCCAAAATGAGGTTTGAAAAATTGACCGGTGGACTGGTTCAGTATTGGTTGGATGAAATCCCAGTGAGACATTTCTGGCTCGTAAGCTGTAGTTTGTCCATGTCTGGACTAAGCAACACATTTTTAACATTGTTTCTTAGTTTTCTGTAAATGATATAGTTTAGGATTTAAAGTTTTGCCTTGAGGCCACATCAGTTCAGTATCAGTGTACTGTGTTGACATGATCTCCGTTTGTACAGCAGTCTCTTTCCTACATCCCAGGTTGGTTTACTAGCTTACCAGCAGAGGATGGGTTTACCTAACCTAACCTAACCTAACCTAACCCAGACCCTTGTTTACATCATACAGTGAATAAACAGTGGTAGGAATATTATAACATGGAGGCCAGAAAAAGTCATGTGCTGCCTGTAAAATTAAGACTACTTTATACAGTACAGCTTTATCTGCATTCTAGTGGATCTGCACACATGCAGCCCTCTGCTTGTGTTCTCCTTTGCATGTGTTATTGTTTTCAACCAGATCTGAAAAGATGGAAACTCAAAGCCAATGATATTACCTAGGAGGAATATAAATTTTATTTTTTAACAATATCTTGGTTGTGAAATCTGTAGAACCATATACATGGCAATGAAAAAAGGTATATGTTCTAACATCAGTGATTTTTTTTTTTTTGCATGCTAAAAATACCAGTTTGGACGTAATTTAAAAGTGCATTTCTTTTATAGTATTATTTGAATAATAAATAATAAAGCATGACATGTAACAACACAATTTTTTTGCGATGTGGTCACTAACACAAATCAAGGCTTGCACAGTGTAACCTTAAAAATCAATCAAAGAAACCTCGCGTCTGTGTTGAAATGTCCTCTGGAAAATGTCTCCTAACTATATACATGTGTGACTAGTGTAATGGTTGTTTTATAGCTTGTGTACTTAAAGCAGGCACACACCTAAATCTAGGTCTGGTGGTGAGGCTACTGCTGAAACAGCAGGAGGGAAAAAGAATTGCAGTAGAGAACATTAGATGGAGAGAAAAGTGGTAAGCTGGACTAAAGTACACTGACAGAATGAAGCCAAAAATTCCTATTTAATTGTATTTTATCACTGATTTAGTATCTGTTAAATTGGGACACGTTTAGCTGTTTCCACAGTTACGGCTACTGTAAAATATCTGATGTCTGTGGCACTGAAGAAATCTGACCGGGGCTTTGTGGCACAGCAGGATCACAAATTAGCAGAGGCCAGGGGCAAAATGCCCGTAAAATATCTGAATTAGTGCTCCATGTTTGCTTGGCAGGGGCTTTTTTAATGCCTTATAAAATATAAGTTGAGGTTTTGGAAACCCTGTGTTGACAAAAAGCCAGGTAGGCATCTACAGAACACACACGTCTTCTTCCAGGGCAGATTGCCAGGGCAGCGAGGCGAGATTTAAGCATGTTTATAGAACATGTAGCAGTCCATATAAAACATACCTTTAGGCTACAAATTAAACAAGGTTATCTTCTAAAACTACTATTTGAAGCCAAAAAAAAAAAACAAAAAATCCTGGGCTTCAACGCAGCAGCTCAAATATTCCCACAAAAGTACAATCTTCTCATGGCCATTTTTTAAAGCTGTAATTAGGAATAATTATTAAGCTTTAGCTCAGTTTTTATTAAGGGGAGTGAAGCTTCTTTCTGGCTCCTATTTTTACAGCATGTCAGCTCTCTTCAAAGTCTACTTCTGTGTTGTATGTTGACTACAGATTTCTAAAGGCAGTATGGTAGTTAAGAGCTCTTTAAGACGCTGCTCTCTTTACTGCACCACTTTACTGCCAGGGCTTTGTAAATACCACATGTAATGACAAGAATGTAGACAACTTCAGTGGTTGGTGCCACTTTTCCTCTGTGCTGTCATCAGTGACTTGCTGAAAAGCATCATCTCTTCATTTCCTGTTTCATATTTAGTCCTAAGCACTTGTTGTACATTCACACCCTCGGCCGACATGTGTCGCCCATCTGTAGAAGGGACACTGTGTCCTGCTGTAAATGTGACAAAAACCAGAGGTAAACAAGATGCATTGGTAAAAATAATTGTAGAATGTATTAAAAAACAGTTACACAATGTGATTTCATATTTTTTTGTCATACTGACATCAAGCTTTCGTGTGAAAAAGAAATGTACCTTCTGATTTGAAAGAATTAGCTCTATTTCAGTTTATTTAGTTATTCATTTTTGCCTTCTATATAAAATGATAATGAACAATTCCAAAATGATTATTGATGTGAGAAGTTCAGTTGAAATATAAAACGTATGCTAACATTAGCTAAAATGTAGCCAAAAGTTAAGCATATAATATAATATAGATGTTGTTAAGACATTGTAAGGATATGAGCTGTAGTGCCAGTTTTAGGTCTTCTTGTTTATTGTACATTGGGCTTTAGCCAATAAATAGAATAATAATCTTAGTGTACTGTACTTAGCTGAACATGGTGGTCATACTGTATTTAAGAAATAATTCAAAATTACACTATAAATAGTTGTCAAAAAAGAAAAAAAAACATTAATGATAGTCAAGAATTATATTCAAAATGTACTAAGTTTAATTGCAAAATTTGGTAAAACGATTTCCTGGAAAAAAAAAAAAACACAAACTCACTGTGATGCTTAATGTTCAACAGATTACAACCTTCCACTGTGCTTAAAGGAGGATGTTGAACAGTTTGATCTACATTGTTGTCACAGTGGCAGCTGTGAGTGTGTGCTACCGCACTAACAGAGTCTCATTAACTGGTAGACACTCATTCATGTTACTAAGTGACACTCTCAACCCAAAGTCAGAGATAATAACCTATACAGCAGCTGATCCGTATTTATGCAATGCTAGAAAAGCAGCACGTTTGACCTTTTCCTCAGTGATTTTCATCTAATTCTTTATGATTGATTGCCTGAGTCGTTGGTGCAGCTCCGGACTTGTAGCTTGAAGTGAGTCAGAGCGAAATGTAATAAATTTCCTGGATTATTGCTTGATAATAGCGACAAAGTATCTCCACATGGGTGTAATTAAAGCTGGAGGTGTAGCACTGCCCTGTGACTGAACCTTGACCACAGGTAAACCCTCCCACCTGTCAAGTGTGGAACTGCTCACAGCTGTGAGTCCACACTCTCTTTGAGTGTGAGTGGTGAGGCTCTCTCTCTCTCTCTCTCGCTCTCTCTCTCTCGCTCTCTTTTCCGCTGCCTTGTGCATGTCTTTACATGCCCAGAAACATCAGGAGGGGGAGGAGATAGAAAGAAATAACAAGAAAAACCAGAGAGCACGAGAGAGGGTTTGATAGAAGAAGGTGTGAGAGATGAATGGAGGGTTGAAAACAGCTCAGGGCGTGAAATAGGAAAGGAGGACTTTTTTTTATGTGAATGCAGGAGTTGGACAGAACCTGAGAGGACAAAAGATTGTTGAGGTGTAATTGGAAGACACAGGACGACTAAGGCAAGGGGGAAGGGTGAGATACAGGTGTCATTATACTGTATTTGCACCAACACCAGGTTGTCACTTCCTCTTTTGACTCACCTTCTCTTTCTCTGTGTTTGATTTGTAATAGAACGACTTCATTATCATCTGGAAAGTCATGATGGTGATCGGCGGTAACCGTGGATCCTTCTCGTCAGATTTTGGTTTCAAGACTAAGGTCAAGAGCAGCAGAAAGATCAAACCCGGTGAAATAAATGATGCGAAGACCGACGGGAGGATTTGACAGTTCTCATGTTTTCCTCGTCTGCACTTTAAGACCTCCCCTGCTGGCAGCAACCTGTTACAATCATCTGCTGCAACACTCTCTGAAACCACATGTTTGATCAAACACCTAAGCAGCCTCGGCTTGACCAGTAGGACTAACACAGGAGAACTATGGTACCTGATCTTCTGAGAGGTGCACTGTTCCAAGGATGTCAGATCCCCAGGAGCAAATGAGTAGCAGTGGTTTTGACGGCAGTTGCAGTTTACTCCAGGGCCGGCGTTTCTACTGCCGGGAATGGGCCCTGGACAAGCTGCGGCACTGCCTGGACACCTGCTCTGTGCCAAGACACCCACCAGGGCTGCTGGTGATGGGGGGACCTGGTGCTGGAAAGACTGCCTTCTGCACTGAGGTTGTGTGGCCCACCTCGAAAGCAGGTGTGGCAGCTGGGTTGGCACCCCGCTGCCTGGCGTCCCACTTCTGCCAGAGGGAAGACCAGAGGAGTACAGTCCTGTGGAGGTTTGTCCTTGGTCTGGTGGAGCAGCTGAAGGCATCGCCTCTCCTCTCTCCCAGATACAGAGAGTTCCTCAACAGCCCGTCTGCATCGTCAGCACTGGAACCCTTCAACTGTCAGCGAGACCCCGAGGACACTTTCAAGAGGTTTGTCAAATAGAATTCTGAAGAAATCCTGAGAAAGAATGTCATTGCACGTTTATTTTTAGCCTGACAGTCACATGTTGAATATGAGGAGTGGAATTTTCAACAAGATTTAGGGAGAAGCATTGATGTTGTCAAATGACAGGGAGCAGAAAGTGGGTAACAAGCATGAATCTCATCGAGTGGCTCTGCGTGTGTGTGCATGTTTGAGAGTGAGGCTCATTTCTCAGCTCCATCAAGAATAATCAGTGACTGCCGTCACAAACTGAAACATGTGATTTACATTTTTAACCGTATAATTCCTAGAGGTGGTGTGAGCAAGGTAACACATGTACAGTTTTAAAAAGTACTCGTCAGATTAAGCAGAGGTGAAAACCGACAGAGAACCAGTGCTACAGGTTCCTGCTGTTGTGTAAATAGTTGGAACATGTGCTTGTTGTGACTGAAAACATGTGACTTATGTAGAAAAGAGGAATAACTTTCCATTTTGTAGCGACAATGGCCATTATTTGTCAGCCAAATCACAGACATTATGCTCCTAAGATCAACAGTTAAGAGTCGATGGCCATTATTTGTCAGCCAAATCTCTCAAATTACAGACATCATGCTCCTAAGATCAACAGTTAAGAGTCTACGTCTAATTGGCTTCATTATACGTCACTGTTTCAGCACGTTTTTAAAGAGTGTGTTCTTTTCACATTTAATGCTACATTTAAGCTAAGTATGGGGTAGTGTTTCTGATACTTTCTGGTCTGAATGTGTACTTGGTAAAAAGTATTACTTATTTAAGGTAGTTTTTCCTAATGAAAGAAAATGTCTTACATCTCAGTATTTTAATGGGCAGCTAATGGTCCATTGTTGTACATTTGTTTGCAGGGTCACTACTGTCTGCCTGTATTTTCTGTTTTTCTTTTCACTTAAACCTTCAAAAACATTTCTGAAAGGCAATGCCTCCAAGTGCTATAAATATAAACGGGGGTGAGCTACTTTTAGCTTTGGCAAGTGTAAATTATAAAGCCACATATAAATCTGCGTACAAATTTAAGATTACATAAGCAAGAATGTAGGTGTGACATGTTTATGTTCATAGTCTGTCTTGGTGGTACACGATGGAAGTTTTGTGAAGATGATGGAGGTGCACAGCTCCTCACTTGGAAGGCAGGAGTTCTTTGGCCCTCATTTGAAACACTGTTTTAGACAACTAAGTCAAGGAGATTTTGAAATCACTACATGAAACCCTGTAAACATTTTCCTGTTCTACACCCTAACCAGAAGAAAGAGTGACTGATTATGACAGGGATTCTCCTAAGCTTCAGTGTAGCAGAGCTGTATTTTGTATGGAAATTGAGTCGATTCTATGCAGTTGTTTGGCTTGTCGAAAACTTCATGTTTCTCAAAGCCTGTAAACATCTGATTGTGTCCAGGAAGAAAACAAATCGGAGCACAAACACAGGAGGAAGACAGCAGCTGCCATTCTTCTCCATCTTAAATTTAAGTCTGCTCTCATAATGTGGCTCATTCACAGAACACAATGGGCTGTTAGTGCGAGTCAAGGCTGCGCGTTATTTACAACACGACATCCTTTTCGAAGAGATAAATAGGGGGTAAAAAAAAACCCTAAAAATTCTTCCTTAAGTCTGGTGACCGTCTCGGCAGCAGTCAGCGAGGTCACTCTCCTCTCTGGAGTTTTTTTTTTTTTTTTTCACTCTCTCCTGGTGTGTTTACCCAGCGATGAGCCTGAGCTCTTTTACGCTCCTTCAGTGTTTGCTCTCCTCTGGTGTGAGGTACGGAGCTGGATTCCACATTCCCTCAGACTGGCTCAGGGCCAGCAGCTGTTTGAGCTACCAGCTCCTTTTGGGAGGAAGGGCGGCTGCAGGGGAAACGCTGTAAGAATGTTAGAAAGGCTGTTGACAAACTGATGAAACATGGGCTTGAAGTAGACTAAATGCCCGGAAACCAAATTTTAGCTCGGTGTTGTCAGCCTTGAACTCTGCTGACCTTCTTGGTGCCTCTTAGTGTTGCCTGTACATAGAAATTCCTGAGTTTAAATTTGAAACAACATGATGCATTTGTTACCTTAACTATAAAACAAAGTTGAACAAACTTTTCCAGGAGGTACTTGACTAAAAATACCAAATCTTTTTAACAGGTCAAAACGTGTTACAGATCATGTCTATTTTCAATTACAGGCCTGTTAAAAGATTGACTGTGGTTAGAACGAAGATCTGCTCATAACCCCCTCAACATGAAGAACACCCATATATATAATTAACTGAAGTAAATATGACAAATATAGCAAATTGTCAGCTCAAAAGATACTTCACTGATTTTCCTCTTTATAAAAATGCCCTTGAAAGATCAACCAAGAAACATTGATTGGTAGTAGTTTTCATTCTTGTAACAAAATGTTAGATAAAGAAACAGACAAGGATAAAAAATTTGAGCCTTTTCAAAATTCAGTCCTTGTGCTTGCACTTGTGAACACAATAAAATGTATACAAATTCATCTATTTACATAGTTTGGTGATAGGGCAGGAATTTAGACTGTGGAGTGTTGAACTCACTGTTGCTGACAGTTAGATATATTCTTTTATAAAATCTTAAATGTCTGTTGACAGCTAACAGTGGTTCTTTGTCTGGTCACAGCCCAGGATCTGTCAGTGTGAACAGTACCCATCAGAGGTCAAAACTCTTGGTACCACCGCTGCTGCTAGGAGTAGTAAACGTCTTTGTCTTTACATGGTTAGAATAGAATGCTGACAAAACCATTTTCTGTTTAGGTGATCATATCTTTTATCTGGATATGTTAAGTTTTCTAACTGAAATATGTTTAAATCTTCTGTTCAAAAAGTTAGGTTACATAGATTAAACATTCAGCTCAGTCAGGGTGTAAGATGGCTTTTTGATTCATCCATTCATCTGGCAGCCACATTTAAAGACACACAAACATCCACGCTCAGTGAACAGTTAACCTGATTTGCATCTTTTTAGGTTGTGGCAGTCACACAAGGAGAACATGCAAACACCATGTGGAAAGACCATCAGTTACCACTAGGATATTGAACCAGTGATTTTTTTGGCAAAAACAATTTTGGCCTCGACATCTTTATTTCCATAATAACCTGATAGGTTACATGCAGTGGACAAATTGTGCATGATTTATTTATTTTTTATTGAGGAAAAAGTTGTTGATAAAAACATTCCATGTTTCTAGCGAGAGCATTCTTAGCTCTCAATAGAATAACTGTCACTCCCTCTTGGCTCCCAACTTAGACTGTTTTCATTTTTGCCAGTGTTCAGTGATTGAGTTTAAGCCTCAAACATTGTGAATAATTATGTACTATATCATAAAATTATTGCAACCTAAATTAATACGAGGGATGTAACCTGTTATTATAAGTAGGTGCATTAGAAACATTTGCCCATATTATAAATATTTACATATTGTTAAATTATTTGTGATCTTAGGAATTCTTGCTGTAGAATATTTGCTTTATGAAAGGCAAGAGCTGTTACTGTTGTCAGGCAGATGAGGGAAGAAAGAGGGGAAAATAGTCCAATGTCATTGTCGCCTTTAAAAATGGTCATCATCCCACCCTAACAGAAATACTACATACTTGCTTTTTGGTTTTGTACCTCGGCTTGTGGTCCATCTCAGGCCTCATACTTGTCAAATTCAAGTGCTCCGAGGTAGGTAAATACTGCATGAGTCACATACAGTATGAACTGACAGGGCTTTCAATCCACTGGACATTAGTCATGCATCACCTTACTGCGTCTTAGTGCTCCAGAGAGAACAAGGTATTATGAGCTTTAGAGAAGAAAAAAAAAACAGATGCACAGTGGGGATGACAGGAAAAGAAAAGAAAAATAGCACTGGTTGTTGGAAGTGAGGTTGGAAATCACAGTGAAGGACAGGAGAACAGCAGCTCATCTGTTTGTGACACATCAGAGAGAATTCATGCATGTATTAAAATCATACATAGATTCCCAACCATCTGTCGTATTTATACACATCATACACCCCATTCATATTTATGCTTTCAGACAGATGGTTTGGTTTGGTTTGGTTTGCAGGTAGTCAATAAAAGTGTTTGGCTTATCACATTTGATATAATCACAGCAGTGATTTTGTAGCAGGAAGTTCTTGATTGCAATGTTGGTTTTTGTATAACACAGACAAAAACAACACCCTTACTTTGTTCAGTAGCACACTTTACAATATCTTGACCGTTTAGTCTGTATGCACATGTGCACATGAAAGAGACACTGCAATTTGCCGCAGACTTGTCCTTAATTTTATCCTGTTCCTCCCATAGAAACTCCTACATTAAATCTTATATCTTGTATTTATTAAATGTCCAAAACAATTTTTTACATAACACTGTTTGCTTTTGTAAATCTTAATATTTTGAGTATACTAACTAGGGTAAATCATTAAGGTTTCATAATAGGAACTCATTGACTTTGATTAATCATTAGCCTATTGCTAATGCAAATGTTAACACCACTGCCCAAAACACAATGAGCAAGGTAGCCTTTTTTTTTTTTTTTTCAAACTACATTGGCAAAACAAAATCAACTTCCAGACGTGGTGTATTATGTAGCACGTGCAGTGGTTGTCCTAGCATAGCATTAAGCCTCCACTTCCCCTTGCAGTTTGTAGCTAATGAGTTCACCAAGTTAAGACTACATTTATGGCTCAAAAACTATTGCATGGAATATTGATAATGAAATGTCAAAAAGTGATAGACCTACTTTAAAGGTTATGTGCCTCCTCAGTCGTCACTTTAATCGGTTGACTGAAGCTTACATAGGAATGATAAGAATGTTGTAAACCAGATGTCACCTATGCCAAGGTTCCATTTTCCATTTCATTGCAGGATATAATGAGTGATAAATTCAAGGCTCCTGTGAGTAAGCAGATTATACAAACACAATGTGCCAGTGTTTAAGATAAGATAATCACATCCTGTAATTAAGTAATAAAGTCTAATGCTTCTTGATCGGTGTCATGATCCACCCGTCGCTCATTTCATAAACTCTTTGGTTAAAAATCATTAGTAAAATAGTTAAAATGTAATGTTAGAATCAGTGCTTTTGACCTTTTGATGGTAAAAGTAAACATAGTTTTGATTGTTAAATTATAATCATGAAATGTTTATAAAATGAACCATAGTTTATAATGAAGAACTGATGCCATGGTTTCCATAAATTGCAGATCATAACATTTTTACTTTCCTTTTTTTTTTCCATCACAAGTCATTAGTTCATAAACTGTGTTTCCCAGGAGGGTGTATGAAGTGAGGTTTTAATTACAGCTACTCAACATTATATATTTCTTATTGCCTCATGATTTGCCCACATTTCATCACCGTGAATGTCTCATTTACATGGTGTTGATTTTTCATCTTCCACTGCCTACGCACATGTTAATCCACAGGCTGATATTCTGCCGTCCTCCTCGACACTCCGGGTTTGTGACCCTGCTGCTTTTCTTAACTAACTTATCCTCACAAGCATCTTTTTTCATCAGTTCTAAGCTCTTCTCCTGAATTAGTCAGAGCTGGCTTATGCATTTCTGGCAGCGCTGCTGTGTTTACAGCTTAAAGGACCTCTTCTTAGTGTTTCACAAACATGACTAAAGCTGTTTTACAGTGCTGGAAATGTTCCTCGTGTCGTTACTGGGAATTAAAATGGAATTAAAAGAAAAACAAATAATTATTTTAAGCTTGGACAGATGTAGTGATGTTTTGAAGTGGTTTTTTTTGTTTGTTTTTTTTCCAGGAAAAACTATTTGAGGATGAAGGGTGACCAGACCCTCTGTTCAATCTTAAACACAGACATTAACACTAATAACAGTTCACACGTAAACACACCCTGTCTTTGTTGTGGGATTTGAGTCTCTAGGTGACCTATTTACACCAGACTGCTGTCACAGGTTAATCACTATTTGTCACCTTTAAAATAAGACCCCTGTCAGTGTGTGTGTGGCAGTGAACAAATCCTATGGTTGACACACACCTGGTAGCTACTTGTTTTACTTTTTTTTTTAAAATGTATTTTAGTTTCTACGACATATGTGGGTAATGTGTAATGTATTTGTTAAAACAGTGAGAAGGTAACTTAAAATTATGTGTCAGAAAAATCATTTGCATGTACTTCATTGCAGGGTGACATGTGGAGCGTTGCCTGTTGCCTGTTATCCTTAAAATATGCCAGCTTCCTTCATGCAATTTCAACCTCCAGTGTTTTCATGGTGCAGTGTTGACTGCAGGTTTTCATTCTCCTCACGTAAGCTCACCTCGGGTCCCAATCCTGGGATTTTGGATTAAGAAATTTCTGGTAATGCCGTCTGTTGTAAATTCATACATGTTTTAACGACATTGTAAAATAAACACATTGAATTCAGTATCAGTCATAATAATTATAATTATTTTGTCTCATCTTCTACCAGTGTAGACGTGTGAAGGTGAGGAACTGAATTCAGTTCTGGAATGGAGCCGGCCCTCATTAATAATGTATTTGGGCATACGAAGGACACCTTATGAAAATATGTCATTCGTCTACAATATTTTTATTTATTTATGTTTATAGTAGTATGTCTTTCAGAGAATGTGTTCAGTCTAAAAACAGAAAATGTTGTGTTTCTATTTGAACATCCTCTTTTTCACAGACAAGAAAATAAAAAAACTCAATAGTTTCCTATTTTGTCAAACAGGAGTTGTCAAACCAGAACTACCTCCATCAGCAGGTTTAAATGTTCTGATTTGTTACATTGGTGATTGGAATCCTTCTTTCTAGATTAACCCTAATGATGCAACCTAGCCCAACAAGGTAGCAATAGACCAACTACTCCTGTTTCCATGTGACCTAAATACACAGCTCTTCTCTATGGACTTTGGTTTAGTAGAATAAGTGATTTACAACCGGTATTTTTTTATTGGGAAACCTGTGCTCTCTGCTTGTCTTTCTTTTTCCTCCCAATGTGTGTGTGGGTGTGTGTGTGTGGGTGTGTTGCACACAGGTGCGGAACAGTGGGGAATTTCAGAGGTTCCTCTCACCTGAGTCACCAACCGATCACAGCAGGGCGTGGATGCTGACTGTGCATTTAGCACAGTGATTAAGCTTTTGGTTGGGAGTTGTTTTACTGTTTTACAATATGTCCCTGCGTTTGATCTCAGGTGAAGACACTTTTTAAGCTTCAGTTTTATTGTCTCTATTGACAGTGAAGGCAAATGTATGAGTTTTGTTGGTGGGAAAACGTGGTTAGAAATCCTGTTTTATGTGTTGTTTTTTTTCATAAGGTTTTGAGGAGAGAGTGATTTAAAGGAAGATGACAACAATGTGAGAGCAATAATAAAAAATGAAAAACACAACAGAAAATACTAAATATAGGCTTTCATTTGGATTTGCATTTAAATGGAATCTTTTAGGATGGGGGGAAGTCACAATTTGAATATGAATGTGATTTTATTAAAGGACACTCACTGGATTAACTTTAAAGAAAAACTGTTCTTTTTTATTATAACCTGAAGAAGAATTATGAAATACACATAGACATAGACATGTGTTCTGATGGTAAACTCCATTGAACTGATCGACTTGTTTTAACACATCCTCTAATATATATACTGTATATATAGCTGACCCTCTTGGTGCCTGTTCTCCTGTCTTAGGGCCGTGTTGGTGCCTCTCTTGGACCTTCCTCCTCCTGTCCAGACTCTGATGGTGGTGGTCGACTCCCTGGATATCGGATATGTGGCCGGCACAGGCGATGAGAAGAGCGGATCCATCGCAGAGCTCCTGGCCACCTATCAACAACAGCTGCCTGGGTGGCTGCTGCTTGTTTGCTCCGTTCGCCGCCACAACAAACCCTTGTGCAAGATGTTCTCAGGTACAAAGACGGACTAGCTGATTTATTTGACTGACTGACTTTGCATGAGATAAGACAAAAATAAACCAACAGAATTGAATACGTATCTGGTGGAGATGAACTGTCAGCAAGAATCGTGCATTAAAGTGTGATATTTTTATTGTCAATCCACGATTTACATCATACATAACACAATGTACATTGTCTGAAGTTGAAAAGCTGTGATTCAAAGTAACCATGACTACGGACAGAGGCAGCATCACTTAGCTGAACATATTTTTCCAGTGAAGCATTTGACTTCAGATTGTTGCCAGTGTCAATCAAATGGTTTTTGTTTGAATGATTGACAGACAAATCATCGGCCTTTGAGATGTTACATTTGCCTTAATAATACAGGTTGTGCATGTGCAACAGCTGAGTGAGGATCAGCGTGGTCTGTGTATGGAGTGGCCAACATTAAATCCTCATTCTAGATTAGTGTCTAACTATAGCAAAATGTGTCCAACATGCCTTTTGACTTTTTTTTACTAGCACACAAAACTTGTATAAAGGTGTGTTTGACCTTTTTAAAAAACATTTTTCCTCCTAATCTTGGTTGAGTAAAAACTAATCCAAACCATATATCTGCATTTCTTTTGTGTTCTAGGTTTCCGTAAAATCTGCTTGGATGATCTGCGGAAGCCCCCACCCGTACACGATGTGCAGCAGTACATCCTCTGCCGTCTGGATGAAGACACAGCACTGCGTCGCCAGCTCACCCCCGACACAGCTGACATGCTGAATTTACTGCACATCAAAAGTGGTGGCTGTTTTCTCTTCCTTGAGCGAGTTCTGGATGGTGTGGCAGTCGGATTGGTTGGTCTGCGGGAGATCCGGGACATTCCTGGGACACTCAATGGCCTCTACTTGTGGCTGTGCCAAAGACTTTTCCCCCGGGGGCTTTTCATATCTGTCAGGCCTCTCCTGAATGTGCTTTTAGCGGCACCTAGACCCCTTACACCACAGCAGCTGTTCAGAGCAACCTGGACTCACAACACCACGCTCACTCCCCAAGACTTTGAGGACAAGCTTCAGTCTCTGTCTCCTCTCCTTGTCGAAGGCCCTGGGGAAACAAAACTACTTTTTCATGCCAGCTTTTCTGAGTGGCTAACCGATGTCAAATATTGCACACAGAAGTATCTTTGTAGCAGAACAGATGGACACAGCATGCTCGCCATGGCTTTGACTGTGCAGGGACAACATCTGGACATTGAGGACACATGCCAGCTTGCCACGCATTTAATTTGCTCAGGACACCATCAAGACAACTCATCATTATTGGCATTGTGGATGCTGTGGACAGGTGTACCCAACAGCCACACCTCCAGTCAGCCTCCTGTTCTGGTCAGTCAGGACGTCCTTCAGCTGCTGGTGAAGACTGGGCTCATCTCTGCAGCCTGTTTTCCAGATTCACATCCAAGTGTTGGAGTACATTGCATGGGTGTGGAGAGATCCGCTTTACAGCATGGACGTGAGAGGCAAGTGTCTGTGAAGAAACTTTTAGAAAGTGGAGTGTCCATAAACCACAGACGCTCTACAAATGGACAGACGTTGCTGGCCAGTGCAGCGCAGGAGAATTCGCCAGATATGGTTCAACTTATCCTCACGTACGGAGCTGATCCACTTATTGGTGATCATCAGGGTCAGACACCACTTTCGCTAACTTCCAGACAAGGTCATGTCAAAGTGCTGTCAGTGCTCCTTGAATGGGCCAAGGGCCAGGGGCAAAAAACTGCCACGCAGATGATGGAGCACGTCGACAATGAAGGTTGGACAGCACTGCGCTCTGCAGCTTGGGGCGGACACAGCGAGGCTGTGCGCCTCCTTTTGGATGCAGGAGCAGATGTTGATGGATGCGACTGTGAGGGTCGGACTGCACTTAGAGCTGCTGCGTGGGCTGGTCATGAGCAAATAGTTTTAACCTTGCTGAATTACGGGGCGGAGGTTAACAAAGCCGACAGCAAAGGCCGCACTCCCCTAATAGCGGCTGCCTATATGGGACATCAAGAGGCTGTGGAGATATTACTAGATCACAGTGCAGAAGTGGACTTGGCTGATGGAGATGGACGGACCGCCCTGTCAGTTGCTGCACTCTGTGTCCCCACAGCAGCTGGGATCTCAGGTTACGGGGAGGTAGTGAGTCTGTTACTAGAGCGTGGAGCTGATCCAGGGCACAGAGACCATGATGGCATGACACCACTGCTTCTTGCATCCTATGAGGGACATGATGACATAGTTGAGCTTCTGCTTGAAGCTGGTGCTGATGTTGATGAGACTGCCGGCCCGGATGGTACTGTCACCGCTGCAGCAGCTGTTACTCCCCTACTGGCGGCTGCAGCAATGGGCCACATTAAGACGGTGTCTAGGTTGCTGTTCTGGGGAGCAGCAGTGGATGCTATTGATTGTGAGGGCAGAACAGCGCTGTGCCTGGCGGCAGCCAGGGGCAGTGTTGAGGCTGTTCGTGCGTTGCTGGATCGAGGACTGGACGAAAACCACAAGGATGACCTCGGCTGGACTCCATTGCACGCCGCTGCCTGTGAAGGCCATCGGGCTGTTTGCGCTGCCCTGACAGAGCGAGGCAGTATGGCACGCGTTGGAGAGATGGACATCGAGGGACGAACTCCATTAATACTCGCTGCCCAGGAAGGTCATTGGAGCACAGTTAAGCTTTTGTTGGACAGGCGTTCTCCTATTGACCATAGGGCCTATGATGGGCATTCTGCCTTGAGTGCTGCACTCCTGGAGGGTCATGTTGAGGTGGCAGATCTTCTTATGAGGCGAGGGGCTGACACTGATGTGCGGGATGCAGAGGGCAGGCCTTTGCTCTACCTCCTGGTCTTAGAGGGTCGTCTTGAGATGGCCACTCTTCTGATAGAAAAAGGAGGGGTACCGCTTGAATCTAGAGACTCTGAAGGCCGTACTGCACTTCATGTGGCTTCATGGCAAGGGCTTGTAGAAATGGTAGACTTACTTGTGAAGCATGGGGCAAACCCAAATGCACAAGATGCAGAAGGAAGACCACCAGTGCATTCAGTGGCCTGGACAGGACATGCTGATGTAGGACATCATCTCCTGGAAGCCAGTGGCATCAACATTGACCTTGCTTGTCACCAGGGAGCAACAGCTCTAAGCATTGCTGCCCAAGAAGGACATGACAGTATTGTAAGAATGCTTTTGGAAAGAGGTGCAAATCCTAATCACTTAGATAAGTACGGCCGTAGTCCGGTCAAAGTGGCAGGAAAACATGCACACTTTAACATCGTCAGGTTTTTAGAGAGCTACGGTGCCAAGCCATATCAAGGCCCTGTGCCAAACTCTATGACCATCTCCCCTGAAAAATCCAACAAGATCCTCTTCTCAAGCATCACAGCGAGTAATGGAGGTGAAGCAACAACAGCTACCTCTTCCTCTTCAGTATCATCCCCTGATTCCACAGCAGAAAGATTCCGTTCGATGGAGAGTTCCCAGACCTCGTCTACATGCCACTCCCTGGCCACGGTGCAGACTGTACCTGCTGACAGCCTCAGCTTCATCCAGCAGATCCAGCAACACTCACTGCCCCGCAGCCGCAGCCGTCCCTCCACCCTTCCTCCACCGGGGAGCTCAGGGATGGGCAGCCTCCATGGGAGCGTCCAAAGGCAACCTAAAAGCAGCCCCCCTCCTTCTGTTTGCACAGTTAAAGCTGTTGTGCACAACTGCAAGATGCCGACCAAAGGCTTGACATCTGGACAGGAATACCCCGACAAAATGAACAAACAGAATCCACACTTAATAAAAACCGACAGGATGACATGCACTGGTGGAAAATGGAACTCGGTCATGGCGTCTCTTGGCATTGTTCCAGGGCAGGACAGTCCTGCAGCAGGTGCTAAAAACAGGGGGAGTCCCCCACTGGGCTATCCATACAGGTTACAAAGTCCACTTCAAGAGGAAGCTTGGAGTCCTCTGACCCAGAAAAACATTATGTCACCTGCCTGTTACAATTTTAACCCAGTCGTACCTTGCAGTGCCTTGCCAGAGGACGTAATGGTCAGAATGACGACCACAGACCCACAGCTCAATCTGAAACAGGCCATTAAACTGCAGTTCGAAGGTCCCACCAGTGCAGCCTTGTACAAGAGAGAGACCCCTCTGTGACCGGTGCCAGAGAAACCGCTATCACTGATGTAAAAAAAAAAAAAGAAAAGAAAAAGCCACTTGTCAAGCTGTGTTTTGAAACATTGTTTGGTTTACAGAATTATTTACATTTTTCTACTTTAAATTATTATATCTGAACTGGTTGCAGCCCTAATATGGGCGTTACAAAAAAAGAAATATTCTAAACATATATATGTAGTTTAAAACAGAATTTGGAATTGAAGAGACCATTCTTTTTAATTTGACAAACTTTATTGTTTGAAAATAAATAAAATGAACAAAGGTGAAATCTCCCTTTAAACCAATGTGACACTCAGTCTCAGCAGTGAACCTACAGTGAGGAAGTTTGTTACTTTTTAGTCTTATTTCACCTCTTGACAAACAAAGTGTCAATGCCAAAAATACTTGATGTCTTTTAGACATTTCATTGCTTTTTTTTTTTTATAAAAAGCTTTTCATTCACCTTCAGATTTGGCCTATATATATGACTCACAGCACACTGAACAACTGAATACACTGTTGGCAGCAAAGTTAGGTTTTAAACATTTAGGGAATTTGTAGATATTATTGTTTTATTTACAGCACATTTTGTGTGTTTGTTTTTACGTTTACTGAGGTTGTCCCAGAGTTAAAAAAAAAAGGCTTGGATGACAGAGGAAGTTTACTTTTTCTCCACCCTTTTAGAAGAGTCGAGGAGTGAAGACGGTGACATCACTGCTTATTTTGCCTGAATTTCCTGTGACTGTTTGGTATTTTGGCAGGGCTCCTGCAGCTGTTGGACTGATGCATTCTTTTCTTTCAAAATGTATTGTTTTATTTCTCCATTTTGGTTATAATTTTTTTTCACCTTTTTACGTAGCCACCAGCACCAGTTTGACTGTGTTGGGATGTGATTGAAATTATTTTTTACTGGTTTAAAAACAAACAACAACAATCCCCTTCTGGAGCTTTAAATACGTGGCCTTGATCTTTACTATAAACTTTTATACTGACTGTAAAGTAACTCTAATAGCCCATAGGTCTGTTTCTAACAGACAGTGTTTGGCTGAAGAAGTCCTGACTCAGTGCAGGGTTTATGATCCCAGCCACAAAAGACAGAGGAGTTTACCAAACCCACTTGGCTTGATCACAGCATGTCTGTGGGCAAGCAAAAAAAGGAGAGATTTTAAATTGGACAATAAAAGTGGGAGTGGATGTGGACGTGCCATGGTTCTGATTCTAAAAGTTTTACTTTATTGGCATTATCTATTATTTAAAATATGCTTTAATTAAAATGGCAACTTTGTCATAAACTGACCCTGATTTACTCGTCTGTTATTTTTCATGTATTTTTTATTTTATTTACAAATACACACACTTGAGCCCACACACACTACACTACAAATAAATGTCATGATTCGCCTCTGATGTGGAAGCATCAAGCAGGGATTAGAGTCTGGCAGCAGCCTGATGGCAGCCACCTCGACTTGTATAAGCAAGGGCTTTGGAAAGTGTTCTTGGAAACTGAAAACTACATAGAAACAAGGCTCTCCAATATTTTAGGTACACAGTCAAAATGGTTTATTGTAGTTTTATAGAACTGACTAGACTGCAGGGGTCTCACACTCAAATGAGCTGAGGGTCACAGACGCCACCATCATTTCATTTGGGGGTCACATCAGTGTTCGGTGTTACAAAAAAAAAAAAGATATATCAGAATAAAAACACAGTGTAATACCACAGTTTGATTTACAAATACAATATTTTTTCTCCTTTAAACGACCAAATAATTTAAAGAAAATACAAGGGCCAAATACTTTTTTATTTTCTTTTTTTTTTACCTCTTGTATGGGCTGGATGAGTTGGGGGTTTGTGGCCGTAAACTGTAAGGAGTTTGAGACCCCAGTTTAACTTGTGTATCACTATGTCATCTCCAAAATGTTGATTTGTTTAGACTTTAGAATATAACGCAAGTCAAGACAATAACACTTTTCACACAGATAAAGAAACCAATGAAAACAAAAAGAAATATCAAGGTGGGTCCAAGTCCATTCTTCATAGTTTCAGTTGACTCCCAGTGGTCTGTGGCCTGGGTCGCTGTCTCTCAATTCAGTTCTGTTTGATGTTCAGAGTCTGCTTTTATTGAATTAAACTTTGATTTGACTGTTGTATCTCCAGGGTCTGCAGTTTCTTTCTAAGGAAAAGAAAAAGTCCTGTTGTCAAAGATTTGCACCAAGGTAAGATTTGACTCTAGGCGGTGGTCCCTGGGGAAGAGATTCACGTTTGTTATGAAATAATGTCAAATAATTTCTGGGAAAAGGCTAGGGAAAATGACAATTGTTGATAATTGTTAGTCAAAAAGAGTTGATAAGAGTGGTCTGGGTATAATTTCATGCTTTGTTTCTTCTACAATATTTAATTTGGACAAACTTGCATTTTCTGCCACAGTTGAATGTGAACATTAAATTGTTAGCTCACTGAGCATATTTGAACAGTGATGTAAAAAGATAAACTGACATAACAGACAGTTAAATTGTTGTCTTCATCACCGACACAAACAAGAACCTATAGTGTTTATAACATTATGTATGGTAAGCACAAAAACAAACAAAGCAGGAGCGATGCAATATTTGTGAAGAGGCTCACATGTCAAGCTCGGTAAACATTAGCTGTAATTAAACACCAGCTGCACACAGACCTAACCTGACCTGTCGACCACAAATTAACTGAAAGCATTACAGGTGACTGTGCAGTTGGTACATTTCTGAGAAACTGCAGGTATAGAAATGCATTCCAAAACTGAATTATGGATGCTTTTGAATGTCTTTTTTGCATCAACTAAAATGCCATTACCTCTTCACAGAAACACTAATTTAAATGACATGTTTTTAAAAAAATAATTATGAATCAGTGGTTAACTTGTACAGAGGCTGGATCTGCTGCAACGCCTGCAAATTATGACAATGACATGAAACAAAGAGTCTGGTGATTGATGGGGGGAATCACAGGCGGAGCGGAGTATAAAGGAACAGGAAAAACTGAAGCTGCAGTTGTTTAGGAAACAATGGCGGCTCACTGGCTGCAAAACAATAGAGAAACAGGATAGGAAGCAGCTGATGGGAAACAGGAAGATTCACTCTGCAGCAGAAAACGCGATGCATTTCACAGTAAAAATAAAGGTCATAGGAAGCTGCAGCCAGAGGTTGGGTTCACGCAGATGTACCCTGACTACTCACCTCCATCTAGTGGACAAGGCAGGGAGTATTCTCTAGCTTTTATCTTCAAACTCATTAGGCTGCAAAACTACATGAAGTTACGTTTGGAAATACATGATTACACAGTATAGAGTTTAACTGTCATGTTTCATCAAATGCTAATGAAGAATATTTCTTTTCCCTTGTAGATGGAGGTAGACACAGTGAAGAGCAAACGGTAAGTTGGACATTTCCAGCAGACACACATCTAAGCAGTATCTTATATAAGACTTATCTAGCAAAAGATTAAGAAACAAAAGTGCACAATTCTAAAAATTGTAATAATATGCAAGATTCCTTCAACATATAAACCTTACAACAGTTCTTACAGTTTACTAAATGCATTACAAGTCTTGAATTAAAAATGGTTGTAGACCTTGATGTTAAAGGGGGAATTGTTTAGACTGTAATTTACTGCAACATCTCACATTCTGTACTTGTCACATAGTGTATTCAAATGTCAATGTAACTGAACCTTCACCATCAAAAGTATTTAAGTACTGTTAATCCACAGGTTGTCCAGCCCATTGTATAAAATGTATTTCAGTAGACAGGAAATCCTATGTTCTTCCTTTAGCCACAGTTTTAGGATTGGACTTCTGTTAACATCTGCTCTGATGTTTTAAGAGGTGAAAAATCAGAGTGATGGATATTAACTCAAAGGGCTCTGATCAAATCCTTGCCTTGGCAACGACTGTGAGTAGGTGTATTTTACACCCAGTGGACACCTTCGCCTCCACCTTCAGTTTTCTTCATTTGGTTGATATTCATTATCTTCAACAGGCGTAATTTGGCGTGGGTGTGTGTAGATCTAGTATAATAGGTTTGAAATGTGGCAGCTGTAGTACATGATTATTTGCTACATAAGAAACTATGGTGTGTTCAAGCGGTTACTAATCCTGTTGTAGCTCGATCTTTGTCTTTCTAAGAGGACTTTCTAAGTGACATTATATAACGGTGTAACACAATATTTATCAGTTTTGATAAAACCAAGATTTATTGTGTTCCCAGTAACAGTGATTTGTGCTGTCAGAGTGACAGATGGGTTCAGATTCCAGAGAAGACAACCTTTTTTTTTTTTTTAATAAATCATACATGTGAATACCTGATATTTTAACCCACTAACACTGACTGCAAAATGTGCTTTTCTGAAAGGATATGTGGTCCTAAGAGTAATTTCAGCTGAATTTCTTTTTTTGTTCCTGACACAGTAAATTACAGTCTGTACCTTCTGGCATCAGTCTGTTCAAATGTTTAAAAGAACGCTCTGTCAAAGAGCTTGAGAAATTCTTAAAAATCCACCCAGCTCAACTTTTAAGAAATGAGCAATGACTGAGAGCTGGCACACTGGTCAAAGTAATGAGCATTTATTGATGTCAGTGGTGACAAGATTCTACAGTTAAAATCAGTAAAATTCTTGATCAACCGCAGTAAGACAAAAGTGGTTCATTGTTTGTGCAGTACAAAAGTTTTGACTGAAAAATTGGTATAAATATCTGGTTCTTTTCTTTTGCTAGACATGGATCAGACTCCACTTTATCTACTGTGTGTATACTCTGTGTACTGTACAGTAAGTTTTAAAACTGACACAGCAACTGTTGGAAGTTTCAAGTAAGTAAAATCACACCAAATAGTTTAATCTCAGGGGTAAACATTCTTAGCTAGTGATTAAAGTGATTAAATTACTACAGCGGAAAAAACTCCGTAGTGATTAAACTTATTGAACGCAATTTTTTTTGTTTAGTCCTGTGAGGCCTTGTACTGGTATATCTTTATGCAGTGGTGCATACTGTCTGAAACAGCAAGCTGACCCTCAGGTAGCAGCGCCAGACCCCGTGGACTACTCAAGCCTTGGTTTATTATGACCCATCCAGTGCCCCGTGAGGGGTACAACAGAACTTTGTGCTCCTCCCCCCAGTCTGCTACAAACACATTACCATCTGGATCTAGGCAAATACCCCAGGGGCAAACCAGGACTGGTCCCATACCAGCACATACACCCAGAATTCTCACTGTGTTCCATCCCGGCTCCAGTACTTTAATACAAGGCACACGACCTGTTTCGTTGCCTCGTTCAGACACTGCCATCATACCTGAGCTCAAACAAGCTGCCACCAAGTAGGGTCTGTGAAAACCAGTCACAACTGTACGTTCAACACGGCACCCGGTCTTAGGTTCCAGCTTGTATGCGATGAGAGTACCTTTACGAATATCAGCTACCAAGAACTCATCCATCCTGGTTACTGTTACACCTCGGGGAGCTTCCAGTTCATCTTTTGCTGAGCTCCGTCCTGATCCTCCAAAGGTCTGGAGCAGGCGACCATGACGGCTGAACACCAGCAGGGCTCGCTCTGCCGCGCAGCTTAGGGCGATCAAACCCTTTGCATTCACAGCAATGTCAAAATAATTCCGGCATCTTCTGGCCGATCCATTTGAAGTTGAGGTAGACACTTGCTGTAGAACGTTACCACGTGGATCTGTCACCTGTTGCAAAGTTGAAATTGTTTTAATTATATAGAAACATTTTCTAGAAACTGTGCTTCAAAAAGAAATAGTTTTCAACACAACACTGACCTGAATACGTGCATTTCCACAGTCCACTATAAAGAGTTGGCCCTGGGGGGTGGCATGAATACCACTGGGCAGCGTAAGATCAGCACGACCTGATCCCTGCTTTCCAAACTGTTTGATGAGATGAGGTCCACTTGTGTTGCACGATACAAAAGATGGTTCCCCCTCTTCCTCCGTCTCAACCAATGCAGGTTCTCCTCTATCACCTCTGTTTTTCTTTGGTTCTTGAGAGAACCCGTCAATGACAGACATGGACAAAGATCTACACCCGAGGGGTTGCCTTGAACCCGCCATTCTGATTGTGTTTTGTTGCTGAGGCAGATTATTGTAACCCTTACCAGACGGGTATGAAAGTGTTTGTCCAATCTCAGATACCCTGGGGTTTCGGTTGAAATTTGGTGGGACTGAATTCGTGTTTGACTGAGAGTTGTTGCATTTCATCCTCCATGTTCCAAACTGCTCACTCCCACCACTACTGATCAGTGGGCGTGT